GGCACTGGTCACTGCAGCACTTGGTCAGTATCCGGCACTGGTCATTGCAGCACTTGGTCAGTATCCGGCACTGGTCACTGCAGCACTTGGTCAGTATCCGGCACTGGTCACTGCAGCACTTGGTCAGTATCCGGCACTGGTCACTGCAGCACTTGGTCAGTATCCGGCACTGGTCACTGCAGCACTTGGTCAGTATCCGGCACTGGTCACTGCAGCACTTGGTCAGTATCCGGCACTGGTCACTGCAGCACTTGGTCAGTATCCGGCACTTAATGTTGATAGTCCTCTACGAAGGGAGGAAGATCTCCATCTAAATCTTCTCCAATGGAGAATATTTTTGTTTTTAATTGGTGTGTGTCAGTATGGTTGGCTTGGTGTGTTGTGGGAGAGAAGCGGCATCTGTGCCACATACATATATCTTTACACATTCTTCCATTTTGCGGCAGATGACATGATTTTTTTTCACCAGTGAAAATAATAACTTTTTAGATACAGAACAGATAAAGGACTCCAGCTGGCTACAGAATACAATATGCAATCAGAGCTCATGGGAAGAAAACTCTATATAATGGCTCACGAAATAATGACATACGACCATAACAAAGCGAACGTTACATCTGTCAGGATGATGATAAGGTGGATTATGAGAAGCTTAAAATTAATTTATGTCGTATTTCGCCTATAATTCTGCTCGGTACGTGCTTCCCCCTTTCTAAACTATAATAGTTATCTGGAATAGTTATCCCGAATACAGAGAACATATATATAGATACATCAAATAAATCTATAAAATACTGACGCTGACGAAATCGCATTCGCGCTCCCAATTCACGCCAAAAGTAAGCTTCGAATTCTTTGCATAGCCTCAACTTATATTCACATTCATCACGTTGTTATTACTTTCATTCTGCACAGTAAGATACGTAGATTACTGGGGATAGTGTCCAAAGTATTTGGAATATACTCTGTGGTACAGAGATGAGAAATATCGCACAATGTGCGCATATAACATACTGAACGGACGGGTGTCAACAGCCTATGCTCTCAGATATGCGCAATAGCGTAACATACTGTGGCTGTGGTGTGGTGGTCGTGCCTGTGGTAGAGACAGGTGCAGACAGCAGGGTAAGACAGAGGTGCAGACAGCAGAGTGAGACAGAGGTGCAGACAGCAGGGTGAGACAGGTAGAGACAGCGGTGCAGACAGCGGCGTAAGACAGCAGGGTGAGACAGGTAGAGACAAAGGTGCAGACAGCGGGGTGAAACAGAGGTGCAGACAGAGGGATGAGACAGGCAGAGACAGAGGTGTAGACAGACAGAGACAGTGGGGTGAGACAGGGAGGTCAGGGAGTAGTACAGAGTCGGGTGGCGCTTGTCGCGGGTAATAAGAAGCGTCCAATTACTGTTATTATTTGGACTCTGCTTCTCTGACCCTCCTGGAGCGGGTCCTGCTCCCGTTACTGTTCTTGTTATTCTGTTCTTGTTGCTCCCGTTACTGTTCTTGTTGCTCCCGTTACTGTTCTTGTTATTCTGTTCTTGTTGCTCCCGTTACTGTTCTTGTTATTCTGTTCTTGTTGCTCCCGTTACTGTTCTTGTTGCTCCCGTTACTGTTCTTGTTGCTCCCGCTACTGTTCTTGTTATTCTGTTCTTGTTGCTCCCGTTACTGTTCTTGTTATTCTGTTCTTGTTGCTCCCGTTACTGTTCTTGTTATTCTGTTCTTGTTGCTCCCGTTACTGTTCTTGTTATTCTGTTCTTGTTGCTCCCGTTACTGTTCTTGTTATTCTGTTCTTGTTGCTCCCGTTGCTGTTCTTGTTATTCTGTTCTTGTTATTCTGTTCTTGTTGCTCCCGTTACTGTTCTTGTTATTCTGTTCTTGTTGCTCCCGTTACTGTTCTTGTTGCTCCCGTTACTGTTCTTGTTGCTCCCGTTACTGTTCTTGTTGCTCCCGTTACTGTTCTTGTTATTCTGTTCTTGTTGCTCCCGTTACTGTTCTTGTTATTCTGTTCTTGTTGCTCCCGTTACTGTTCTTGTTGCTCCCGTTACTGTTCTTGTTATTCTGTTCTTGTTGCTCCCGTTACTGTTCTTGTTATTCTGTTCTTGTTGCTCCCGTTACTGTTCTTGTTATTCTGTTCTTGTTGCTCCCGTTACTGTTCTTGTTATTCTGTTCTTGTTGCTCCCGTTACTGTTCTTGTTATTCTGTTCTTGTTGCTCCCGTTGCTGTTCTTGTTATTCTGTTCTTGTTGCTCCCGTTACTGTTCTTGTTATTCTGTTCTTGTTGCTCCCGTTGCTGTTCTTGTTGCTCCCGTTGCTGTTCTTGTTATTCTGTTCTTGTTGCTCCCGTTACTGTTCTTGTTGCTCCCGTTACTGTTCTTGTTATTCTGTTCTTGTTGCTCCCGTTACTGTTCTTGTTATTCTGTTCTTGTTGCTCCCGTTACTGTTCTTGTTGCTCCCGTTACTGTTCTTGCTATTCTGTTCTTGTTGCTCCCGTTACTGTTCTTGTTGCTCCCGTTACTGTTCTTGTTGCTCCCGTTACTGTTCTTGTTATTCTGTTCTTGTTGCTCCCGTTACTGTTCTTGTTATTCTGTTCTTGTTGCTCCCGTTACTGTTCTTGTTATTCTGTTCTTGTTGCTCCCGTTACTGTTCTTGTTGCTCCCGTTACTGTTCTTGTTATTCTGTTCTTGTTGCTCCCGTTACTGTTCTTGTTGCTCCCGTTACTGTTCTTGTTATTCTGTTCTTGTTGCTCCCGTTACTGTTCTTGTTATTCTGTTCTTGTTGCTCCCGTTACTGTTCTTGTTATTCTGTTCTTGTTGCTCCCGCTGCTGTTCTTGTTATTCTGTTCTTGTTGCTCCCGTTACTGTTCTTGTTATTCTGTTCTTGTTGCTCCCGTTACTGTTCTTGTTATTCTGTTCTTGTTGCTCCCGTTACTGTTCTTGTTATTCTGTTCTTGTTGCTCCCGTTACTGTTCTTGTTATTCTGTTCTTGTTGCTCCCGTTACTGTTCTTGTTATTCTGTTCTTGTTGCTCCCGTTACTGTTCTTGTTATTCTGTTCTTGTTGCTCCCGTTACTGTTCTTGTTATTCTGTTCTTGTTGCTCCCGTTGCTGTTCTTGTTATTCTGTTCTTGTTGCTCCCGTTACTGTTCTTGTTATTCTGTTCTTGTTGCTCCCGTTGCTGTTCTTGTTATTCTGTTCTTGTTGCTCCCGTTGCTGTTCTTGTTGCTCCCGTTACTGTTCTTGTTATTCTGTTCTTGTTGCTCCCGTTACTGTTCTTGTTATTCTGTTCTTGTTGCTCCCGTTACTGTTCTTGTTATTCTGTTCTTGTTGCTCCCGTTGCTGTTCTTGTTATTCTGTTCTTGTTGCTCCCGTTGCTGTTCTTGTTATTCTGTTCTTGTTGCTCCCGTTGCTGTTCTTGCTATTCTGTTCTTGTTGCTCCTGTTACTGTTCTTGTTATTCTGTTCTTGTTGCTCCCGTTGCTGTTCTTGTTATTCTGTTCTTGTTGCTCCCGTTACTGTTCTTGTTATTCTGTTCTTGTTGTTCCCGTTGCTGTTCTTGTTATTCTGTTCTTGTTGCTCCCGTTACTGTTCTTGTTGCTCCCGTTACTGTTCTTGTTGCTCCCGTTACTGTTCTTGTTATCCTGTTCTTGTTGCCCCCGTTACTGTTTTTGTTGCTCCCGTTACTGTTCTTGTTATCCTGTTGTTGTTGCTCCTGTTACTCTTGTTTTTGTTATCCTGTTGTTGCTCCCGTTACTGTTCTTGTTATCATGTTGTTCCCGTTACTGTTCTTGTTATTACCCTGTTGTTGCTCCCGTTACTGTTGCTGATATTTCCTTTACTGTTGTTCTTGTTATCCTGTCGTTGTTGCTCCCGTTACTGTTGTTGATGTTTCCATTATTGTTCATTTGTTATCCTGTTTTTACCGCCCTCGTTACTGTTGAAGTTTCCGTTACTGTTGTTTTTGTTATCCTGTTGTTGCCCCCGTTACTATTGTTGATGGTTTCCGTTACTGTTGTTGCTTCCGTTACTGTTGTTCTTGTTATCCTGTCGTTGTTGCTCCCGTTACTGTTGTTGGTTGTTTCCGTTACCGTTGTTCTTGTTATCCTGTTCCCGTTACTGTCGTTAACGTTTCAATTACTGTTGTTCTTGTTGTGATCCTGTTGTAGCTCCCGTTACTGTGGTTGATCCCGTTACTGTTGTTGTTCCCGTTACTATTGTTGCTCCCGTTACTGTTGTCGACGTTCCCGTTGTCCTTATTGTTAACCTACTACTGTTGCCGTTCCGTCAGAAGCCCGAGAGACAAGCCTAGTGCCTCGCGCGGGAGATACTAATAATACTCCAGGACTGGGATAGGCTGTCATGGATTCTATAGATTGTAAAGATGCATATTACCGTCCTGGGGACAGCTTGGGGACTTAATCCCTGCCATCACAGGGTCTACCATCATGCAGGGAGTATAGGCGCACTCGGTATATAATGATATACGTGGCAGTAATTTTATATATACGTTATACGTTATTTTCGGCAGTATTTGCCTCCCAGCACAGAATTGGCGGGAACATGGTGGTGATGGCTGTTATACAGTATACACAAGGACGTGGGAAACATTGCAGTGGGCCTATATGCTGCTGGCATATATGAGTCGTGTTCATTACTCGTTATCGTAACAAAATAACGTTAGTATCGTGAACGCTGCTGAAGGCCTAATTGACCCATATATATGGTAGCTTCTATTTATATCCACCCGAAGTTGTTTATATATGTTTAACGTACGCTTGAAACCTGCCTAATCACTTGGGCTGGACGGTAGAGCGACGGTCTCGCTTCATGCAGGTCGGCGTTCAATCCCCGACCGTCCAAGTGGTTGGGCACCATTCCTTTCCCCCCGTCCTATCCCATATCCTTATCCTGACCCCTTCTTTCTCCTGGTTTTCCCTTATATACTACAAGCATGCAATCATCACATTCAGCGAGTGGGCGTCACTCTAAACCCGTGAACATATTCTCTCCAGCAGGTGGTGGTGATGAGGGAGATGGTGGTGATGGTGGTGATGGTGATGGTGATGGTGGTGATGGGACCCGTGGGGGTGGTGGCCCCTGTGCCACTCCCCCACCCCACGCCCCGACCTGACCTCCTGGCCCTCACGCAAGACTACTGGCACTGGAAGACCCAAGACTTTCCGCAGTTCGCTACCACGGTAAGTTCCGCCACGCGGTCACATGTTGTTATAGATTCAGCTACTCGGAACAAGTACCAGGTAGCACGGGCTATGGTGAGCCCGTAACTTACCTGGCACAGGAGTAGGCCAAGTAGCACGGGCTATGGTGAGCCCGTAGTGGACTTATCTGGCACAGGAGCGGTGCTGAGATGTGTCTCTCGACGCGGTCACAGCCACCCACGCTGCTCTCATATCAGATACGTCGCGTATTTTACCGAATTCAAAATCCAAAAAAAATCAAAATTCAAAATTCGAATTAATCCGTTAAAACTGCGACGTGTTAGTACAAAATGGATGTCATTATAGTGATTGTTTTCTATACTTCGGCCTCGATAGGTGCATGGGTTAGTACGTTTCTGGTTAGGGAAAAGAATTGCATTTTTTTAACGGAATGGTAGTTCAAGACTGTGGTTGGTTTAGCCCGTCCTCGGGTTATTAATTAGTGGCAGACGTCACAGTGATTAGACCAATCATCTCCATTCATGGTCAGCTGGCACCATCTGAGTCACTTCATGAGAGTAAGAAGTAATTTGTGAACACTGTAATAACCTGGGATAACCAGTCACCTCATTTGGAGTCCGGGCGAAGACCAATCATAACGCTCCGATATACACATGCGCAGTAGGTAGTCCTTAGCCAGCATTGCTTCCTTGAATATCAAGTTGTGAAGGTCTTCCTCATGTGGTGAAGGTCTTCCTCATGTGGTGAAGGTCTTGCTCATGTGGTGAAGGTCTTGCTCATGTGGTGAAGGTCTTCCTCATGTGGTGAAGGTCTTCCTCATGTGGTGATGGTCTTCCTCATGTGGTGAAGGTCTTGCTCATGTGGTGAAGGTCTTTCTCATGTGGTGAAGGTCTTGCTCATGTGGTGAAGGTCTTGCTCATGTGGTGAAGGTCTTCCTCATGTGGTGAAGGTCTTTCTCATGTGGTGAAGGTCTTCCTCATGTGGTGAAGGTCTTCCTCATGTGGTGAAGGTCTTCCTCATGTGGTGAAGGTCTTCCTCATGTGGTGAAGGTCTTTCTCATGTGGTGAAGGTCTTCCTCATGTGGTGAAGGTCTTCCTCATGTGGTGAAGGTCTTCCTCATGTGAAGGTCTTGCTCATGTGGTGAAGGTCTTGCTCATGTGGTGAAGGTCTTTCTCATGTGGTGAAGGTCTTGCTCATGTGGTGAAGGTCTTGCTCATGTGGTGAAGGTCTTCCTCATGTGGTGAAGGTCTTGCTCATGTGGTGAAGGTCTTCCTCATGTGGTGAAGGTCTTCCCCATGTGGTGAAGGTCTTCCTCATGTAGTGAAGGTCTTCCTCATGTGGTGAAGGTCTTCCTCATGTGGTGAAGGTCTTCCTCATGTGGTGAAGGTCTTCCTCATGTGGTGAAGGTCTTCCCCATGTGGCGAAGGTCTTCCTCATGTAGTGAAGGTCTTCCTCATGTGGTGAAGGTCTTCCTCATGTGGTGAAGGTCTTCCTCATGTGGTGAAGGTCTTCCTCATGTGGTGAAGGTCTTGCTCATGTGGTGAAGGTCTTTCTCATGTGGTGAAGGTCTTCCTCATGTGGTGAAGGTCTTGCTCATGTGGTGAAGGTCTTGCTCATGTGGTGAAGGTCTTCCTCATGTGGTGAAGGTCTTGCTCATGTGGTAAAGGTCTTGCTCATGTAGTAAAGGTCTTCCTCATGTGGTGAAGGTCTTCCCCATGTGGTGAAGGTCTTCCTCATGTAGTGAAGGTCTTCCTCATGTGGTGAAGGTCTTCCTCATGTGGTGAAGGTCTTCCTCATGTGGTGAAGGTCTTCCCCATGTGGTGAAGGTCTTCCTCATGTAGTGAAGGTCTTCCTCATGTGGTGAAGGTCTTCCTCATGTGGTGAAGGTCTTCCTCATGTGGTGAAGGTCTTCCTCATGTGGTGAAGGTCTTCCTCATGTGGTGAAGGTCTTTCCCATGTGGTGAAGGTCTTCCTCATGTGGTGAAGGTCTTGCTCATGTGGTGAAGGTCTTGCTCATGTGGTGAAGGTCTTGCTCATGTGGTGAAGGTCTTCCTCATGTGGTGAAGGTCTTCCTCATGTGGTGAAGGTCTTCCTCATGCGGTGAAGGTCTTCCTCATGTGGTGAAGGTCTTCCTCATGTGGTGAAGGTCTTCCTCATGCGGTGAAGGTCTTCCTCATGTGGTGAAGGTCTTCCCCATGTGGTGAAGGTCTTTCTCATGTGGTGAAGGTCTTGCTCATGTGGTGAAGGTCTTGCTCATGTGGTGAAGGTCTTCCTCATGTGGTGAAGGTCTTTCTCATGTGGTGAAGGTCTTGCTCATGTGGTGAAGGTCTTCCTCATGTAGTGAAGGTCTTCCTCATGTGGTGAAGGTCTTCCCCATGTGGTGAAGGTCTTCCTCATGTGGTGAAGGTCTTGCTCATGTGGTGAAGGTCTTCCTCATGTGGTGAAGGTCTTCCTCATGTGGTGAAGGTCTTCCTCATGTGAAGGTCTTGCTCATGTGGTGAAGGTCTTGCTCATGTGGTGACGGTCTTGCTCATGTGGTGAAGGTCTTCCTCATGTGGTGAAGGTCTTCTTCATGTGGTGAAGGTCTTCCTCATGTGGTGAAGTTAGCTGATCCTGTTTATTATATTTGTAATGTTTAATAGTATACGTTTAATAGAGGTGGTGACTGATGTGTGTGTTTGTGTGGGTCAGGTCGGTATCAACGACAACACGGCCGGCCGCCTCGACAGCTACAGCTTGGATCACTTCCAACACAGGAAGGTGAGTGTGTCGCCTCTAGTGTCCACCTCTAGCTTCTGGCTTTAGTGGTTCCCTGGTTCCCTTCCCTGCCGTGTCCACCTCTGTCTTCTGGCTCTAGTGGTTCCCTTCCCTGCCGTGTCCACCTCTGTCTTCTGGCTCTAGTTGTTCCCTTCCCTGTCGTGTCCACCTCTGTCTTCTGGCTCTAGTGGTTCTCTTCCCTGCCGTGTCCACCTCTGGCTTCTGGCTCTAGTGGTTCCCTTCCCTGTCGTGTCCACCTCTAGCTTCTGGCTCTAGTGGTTCCCTTCCCTGCCGTGTCCACCTCTGGCTTCTGGCTCTAGTGGTTCCCTTCCCTGTCGTGTCCACCTCTGTCTTCTGGCTCTAGTGGTTCCCTTCCCTGTCGTGTCCACCTCTGTCTTCTGGCTCTAGTGGTTCCCTTCCCTGCCGTGTCCACCTCTGGCTTCTGGCTCTAGTGGTTCCCTTCCCTGCCGTGTCCACCTCTGGCTTCTGGCTCTAGTGGTTCCCTTCCCTGCCGTGTCCACCTCTGGCTTCTGGCTCTAGTGGTTCCCTTCCCTGTCGTGTCCACCTCTGTCTTCTGGCTCTAGTGGTTCCCTTCCCTGTCGTGTCCACCTCTGTCTTCTGGCTCTAGTGGTTCCCTTCCCTGCCGTGTCCACCTCTAGCTTCTGGCTCTAGTGGTTCCCTTCCCTGCCGTGTCCACCTCTGGCTTCTGGCTCTAGTGGTTCCCTTCCCTGTCGTGTCCACCTCTAGCTTCTGGCTCTAGTGGTTCCCTTCCCTGCCGTGTCCACCTCTGGCTTCTGGCTCTAGTGGTTCCCTTCCCTGCCGTGTCCACCTCTGGCTTCTGGCTCTAGTGGTTCCCTTCCCTGCCGTGTCCACCTCTAGCTTCTGGCTCTAGTGGTTCCCTTCCCTGCCGTTTCTGGCTTTTCTTTATTAATTACATTTGGGACATTTTTGTCCCTCTCAAGTTGTAGCGATAGTAGTTGTTTGTGTTACCTGCTGTTTGTGTTACCTGTTGTTTGTGTTACCTGTTGTTTGTGAGTGGAAACTTGGTAGTACAAACAAGCCTAGGTAGTACAAGTACAAACTAAAAGGTCAGTTTTATCAATGAACTGTAAAAGTTTAACGTCTTATCATGACAAAAACATATCAACAAGTCATCCATAAATTGTATTACCTCTAACTATACTCTGGATGTACTGTACAAAATGAAAAGAAATATACTGCTTAGTGTTTCTCTAAGAAGAGTAAAGAATGTTTGTGTCGGGGCAGTCGAAGTGTGAGGAGTTCCTGAGGCGAGCTGAGGAGATCGATGTCGCCTCCCTCTCCGAAGACGACCTCGTCAACCTCAAGATCTTCAAGCAGGAGATGATTGTCTTCTTGGAGAACGCCCCGTTCATCAAGTAAGTAATAGACGGGATGGTTGAAGAATTACGGTGGTTAATCCCCCTGCAGTAGAGGCAAAATATACACAGTTTTGGGTTGTTCAGTAGTTAGCAGGAAAGGATGGCTTCGATAAGTATATAAAGTACAGGCTTCCTGTCGCCAATATCGAACATTTATTTGCTAAATAAAAAGTCTAAATTTGTAATGAGTAATACTAAGATAATGTGGGTTTAATTCAGGTACTTCACTCCAGTGACCTTCATGGGCGGGCCGCAGCGGGACTTCAAGTTGATGGTGGAGAAGAAGATGGTCCTCAACTCTTACAACGACTACCAGAAGCTGCTCTCCAGGTGCGTCTGGCGATGGAGAGTCGTCGTGGTAATGAGACTCAACGCCTGTTGTAGGGAAGGGGGGGGGCAGAGGGATTTACCAGAGGAAAGCGCCAAGGCATTATGACTATATGGCACTTGGAAGGGGTCAGGATAAGGATTTGGGATGGGACAAGGGAGGGAAGGAATGGTGCCCAACCACTTGGACGGTCGGGGATTGAACGCTGACCTGCATGAAGCGAGACCGTCGCTCTACCGTCCACCCCAAGTGGTTGAGGGGGGGGGGCAGAGAATTGTGTTCTATACTTCAGAAATAAAACAACGATTTTTTTCCCCCTGATTTGTATTTTCTGGCTTGTTTGTCAATTTATTTTTAGTAAATTAGTGCTCTTAAAGTTTAACCAACTTGCATCAACTATTGGCTGCTTATGCTAGCGATAGCGTAATTGTGAAGTTACTGGACCGTACTATAGTTGAGCAAGTAGTGATTGAGGCAAAGCACTCATGCTAAAAGAAAAAAAAAGGACGTAATTCAAAATGGACTCGCCTCACGAAAGTGGTGTACTGTCCCCGTTTTCTGTTTTGGATCCTCTGGCTTAGGCTGTTAGGTTAGGAGAAGAAACTTTCAATTAACAGTTTTCATGACGTTTTGAAACCTTAGGAGAACTTCTAAGCTTCCACAGGACCCATAACTTGCTGTTTTGGTGAAAAAACAAATTCAAATTTATTTTAAATATGTTTTTATTTTCAAATTACGACCTTTTTTTTATCGTAGTGCATACGAGCGAAATACACGTAATTTGTAAGAGGACGAGTGGGAGCCCAAGACCCCGATTCACAAAGCTGTTACGCAAGTACTTACGAACGTGTACATCTTTTCTCAATCTTTGACGGCTTTGGTTACATTTATTAAACAGTTTACAAGCATGAAAATTTCCCAATCAACTGTTGTTATTGTTATAAACAGCCTCCTGGTGCTTCGGAGCTCATTAACTGTTTAATAATTGTAAACATAGCCGTGAAAGATTGAGAAAAGATGGGCAGATTCGTAAGTGTTTGCGTAACTGCTTCGTGAATCTGGATCCAAGTATTTGGATAGGAGGTCGCATTGGTGGCGGGGATAGTGATGGTAGGGATGGTAGTGGTGGTGGTGGTAGGGATGGTGGTAGTGGTGGTGGTGGTAGGGATGGTGGTGGTGGGGGTGGTGATGGTAGGGGTGATGGTGGTGGTGGTAGACTGTGGCACGGGAGGCAGCGGAGGTTGAGTATTGAAGGGGGGGGGGTTGAGGGGTTGAGGTGGGGAAGATAAAGAAATAATAATTAATTACGACGATTGGTATTATTAATAACCTTAGTAATAAGAGCAATGGTTAAATGTAGTAATCTAAAAGGAGAGAGAAGACATGGTAGCAACATACATTACTTAGCCCCTGACTTCTTTGAATCATATAAAACTATTATATATTACACCTATATTTGGTTTCCAGTTGCGTTTTAAGGCCTATCAGACTTATCAAATTGCTAGGTTTAAGGCCTAGCAAGGCCGTGACACTTGCCTACTGACCAACCACCGAGTAAATACTAAACAATATCTAGGAAGAGTAAAACGTCAATGTATAAACATCGAAAAATGGAATATACACCTCCCGATGTATATATCTCGAGAGATGTATCCCACACTATACCACAAGGATATGGGGGGGGGGTAGAAATAGCCTAAGCTACTCTATCCCTTTGAGATGTATTTCTTTCTTGTCTCAATAAACATACTTGAACTTGAACAAGGATATTCCACAAATATACCCTCGTGGTATATTATATATACAGATACTAAACATGCTGACAGCGTACTATGGTAAAGACATTAATATAGTCTATGTGTGTTGTCCTGCTGGTGAGAACAGGTTCTGTGCTCTGCTACCTCCTGCCCCGTTAACATTATTTTTCTCAGCTGCTAATGCTTCCTGGAGCCCGCCCCACCTGCTGCACTATGCAAATAAAGTTAAGGAACAATTCACTGTAAGCAAGATTGGTGTCTTGAGCCCTGCCATTTAATGCTTGTAAATTTGTACAGTTCCACTCGTGGGTCAACAATGAACGCGGCAGCAACCAAGGTGGTTGCCAGTCACACTTAAAGCAACTCATTTGTTTCCATTAATCCGTTCTCGAACATTAATTTATAATAACTGATGCAATAAGGGGTTTAAATTTAAATCATTAAATTGTGGTTTAATGTAGCAAATCTAGAAATTATGTTAGTAAAATTTGAAAAGTAAATAAAGACTTGGGCGAGATGGGCGCACCATTCCCGGAGTTTGATTGAGCGATCCTTCAGTGGGTTGGCAGGGGGTGGGCGTCCTGGGCAGTGTATCGGTGTGAATCTCTGCGATCCTTCAGTGGGTGGCAAGGAGGGGGCGTCCTAGGTGGTATATCGGTGTGAATCTCAGCGATCCTTCAGTGGGTGGCAAGGAGGGGGCGTCCTAGGTGGTATATCGGTGTGAATCTCAGCGATCCTGCAGTGGGTGGCGGGGAGAGTGCGTTCTAGGCGGTATATCATATTTTTTTTTACTTGTACCAGTGTGAATCTCTACGATCCTGCAGTGGGGGGGCGGGAAGAGTGCGTCCTAGGTGGTATATCGGTGTGAATCTCGACGATCCTGCAGTAGGTGGCGGGAAGAGTGCGTCCTAGGGGGTATATTGGTGTGAATCTTGGCGATCCTGCAGTAGGTGGCGGGAAGAGTGCGTCCTAGGTGGTATATCGGTGTGAATCTCTACGATCCTGCAGTAGGTGGCGGGAAGAGTGCGTCCTAGGTGGTGTATCGGTGTGAATCTCTGCGATCCTGCAGTGGGTGGGCGGGGAGAGTGCGTCCTAGGTGGTGTATCAGTGTGAATCTCTACGATCTTGCAGTGGGGGGCGGGGAGAGTGCGTCCTAGGTGGTGTATCGGTGTGAATCTCGGCGATCCTGCAGTGGGTGGCAGGGAGAGTGCGTCCTAGGCGGTGTACCAATGTGAATCTCTACAATCCTGCAGTAGGTGGCGGGAAGAGTGCGTCCTAGGTGGTGTATCGGTGTGAATCTCAGTTATCCTGCAGTGGGTGGCAGGGAGAGTGCGTCCTAGGTGGTATATCGGTGTGAATCTTGGCGATCCTGGAGTGGGTGGCGGGGAGAATGCGTCCTAGTCAGTGTATCAGTGTGAATCTCTACGATCCTGCAGTAGGTAGCGGGAAGAGTGCGTCCTATGTGCTGTATCAGTGTGAATCTCTGCGATCCTGGAGTGGGTGGCAGGGAGAGTGCGTCCTAGGTGGTATATCGGTGTGAATCTCAGCGATCCTTCAGTGGGTGGTAGGGAGAGTGCGTCCTATGCGGTGCGTCAGTGTGAATCTCAGCGATCCTGCTGTGGGTGGCAGGGCAAGGGTGACCTGGACACAGTATCAGTGTGAATCTCAACGATCCTGCAGTGGGTGGCAGGGGAAGGGCGACCTGTTTCAATGTGAATCTCGCCAATCATGTAGCGAGTGTGAGGGGAGGGCGTCCTATACTCGCCTAGTTGTGCTTGCGGGAGTTGAGCTTTGGCTCTTTGGTCCCGCCTCTCAATTGTCAGTCGACTGGTATACAGATTCCCGAGCCTACTGTGCTCTTATCAAATTGGGCTCTATCAAATCTACATTTTAAACTGTGTATGGCGTCTGCTTCCACCACATCACTGCCTAATGCATTCCATTTGTTAACTACTTTGACACTGAAAAAGTAACTTATAATGTCTCTGTGGCTCATTTGGGTACTAGGTTTCCACCTGTGTCCCGTTATTCATGTTCCACCCGTGTTAAATAGTTTGTCTCTGTCCACCTTTGTCCACCCTGTGGAATGTATCTGCGTGAATCTTAGGGATCCTTTACTAGGTGGCAGGGAGAGTGCGAAGTGTATAGTGTATGTGTATATACTATAGTTAGAGAGTGTATAGACTTTCATGCAGCCTGTGCGTTGTATGAGTTAATCTGAGGTGTCTTAAGAAGACTTAAGAAGAAGCCCATCAGTGAGTGGCAGGGTAAGTGCCTGCTACCCCCAATCATTGCCGCTACCACGACCTTTGTCTAGTTTAATTTCCTCTACCATATATACATGTTAATTTAGCTATGTCTGTGTCGTTATGGTGAGTTATATAGGTGCGAAATTATATCCATATTAATGATCTTTTAAACCCTTAATTTTAATTCATTATTTCATTATATTAATTTATTCATTTTTGTCTGGTTATTCATGATTGCAGCCTATCATCAACACAAGTCGCAGTCGAGTTTATGACATACGTCAAATACTGGCCTATTAAAATGTACTTTAGTCATTATTTGACTTCTAGCTTGGGCAGGAGGATGGGGTTGTAATGATTCTTATTATGAGATTTTTGCTGTCTATCTTACAGAAGTTAGCATGTGCTTGAAGAGTAGAACTTGACTTTCATGTATCTCCCATTTGTTTTATATGCAGTTGGGTAAGTTAAGTGCTGCTAGTTCTATTAGTTTACATAAACACAACCAAACACTGATAGACAGTGTAGAAGTATTGTCTCTAAAAGCAGATTGTTGTTGTTGTTGTTATAGATTCAGTTACTCAGAATAAGTTCCAAGTAGCACGGGCTATGGTGAGCCCGTAGTGGACTTACCTGGCACAGGAGCGGTGCTGTGCTCTAAAAGCAGAGCCGGTGTGGTGCCCTTGAAGGTTGGTCTGGGCCATCAGTGTAGACACAGCTCCTGAGGCCTTAGGGTATTGAGAGAGAAGGAAAGTGTTTCAAGTGTAACTGCTTTTACAAGAGCAAGATTCTCATTATCCTTCTTGGTGATGGGTGTGGTACTTGGCTGGTGGCGTGCAGGCAGGCTGGGATGTATAGTGACACAGGTATATTATATTCCAAAGGTATGGGAAGTTTAATGAGCTCGTATAGCTATTTATTAAGGTAGTTATCATGCAAAGAGTAAATTGCTGTGTTAGTATTAATCACTGAGGTATTTAGGTCACGAAATACTGCAGGATTTTTTATTCTATTTTTATTAATATAGATGCAGCTGCTCTAGGCTATATGAAAATCATTCCAAGGGATTTGCACGCCGTAGTTCAAGAGTTACCACTGTGCATTAAAAAAATATTTTTGTTTGCCCATGCAGATATGGAGAATTTCCTCGCCAGGCCCAAGAGATCATAGAGCTTATGAAAGGCAATATAGAAGATGGTCTAATGCCATCTAACTGGTCCTTGGTAAGTATTGCAATTTATATTTGTACTGTACAGTATATGTCATGACAAACATTAGTATATAAGGGTCAGTCACTGTGCAGTACTCACCCGCCTCCCAAGGACTGAAACTACAAGTTTTTCCTTGCCACAAAATTGTAGTCGACCTGTGAAAACATCCTATCAGTCTACTGATTGTTAGTTGCCCCATGTAGTGTTATACCACTAGTGTATACCACTACCATATAGTGTTATAAATGTTTGACACATTTTTTCTCTTGTAATGTATCTTTATCATTTATCAATTCTGATTGAAATTACCTACTTAAAATTATCTGCTAGATTAAGGACCTGCCCGAAACGCTGTGCGTACTAGTGGCTTTACAAGAATGTAAATACTGTACTATCCAATGTATTCTCACAAACCCAATGTACCTTCTTGTATATATATAAATAAATAAATAAATAAATAAATACCTTAATTTACTTAAGGACCACTAATACTAGTTGCCTTGATGAGGACAGGAAGCCAGTGGCTTGCCAAATGTTCTCCCATTTGCCCTGATAATCTTTTTCCAGCTGTACAGTATTTTAAAACACAGCAGAGTTTGTGTTTGCGGCTTCAGTGGGTAGGTGTTTTACAGGTTTACAACCCTGTGGGTGAAAAAGCATTTCCTGTTTGTTTGACACATTTCAATGTGATACACAATGAATATGCTAGTTCTGTTTGCACTCCTCAGTTTCTTCAAAATCATTCAAGTTTTTTCATTTAATGTAGTTATTAGGCCTTTATTTGATAGCCTAAGATTTTGTTTAGCATTGCAATTCTTTTCTGCAAGCTTGACAAAATCATATTTACTGTCTCAAGACACTTTTCCTTGATCTTATGTTTTTAAATATATATTGGTGGTACTGTACTTACAAGTTCTCGGCTAGCTTTATTATTTTATACTGAAGTCCATCCATTCTTCAGTCTTTATTTATATTTATTCATTTATTTATTTATTTATACAGTATACAAGAAGGTTGTGAAAGTAAATACTGTATATTGGTTATTATTTTCCTCTTACCTAATGCCTCTGTTCACCTAGCAGCAAGTAGGTAAACAAGAGCTAGTCAGCTTGTTATGGGGTTGCATCCTAGTCAGATTCAGTACAGTAATTCGATCTTGGGGGGGGGGGGGGAGGAAACCTCAATAAAAGCCTAATGTCTATGTTAGGCTAATATTAATAATAATAATAATAATAATAATAATATTATTATTATTATTATTATGAATACACTCTGCTTTTCTGATGCAATGAATTATTATGTGGTACATTCTTGCAAAGCCACTAACACACACATAATTTGGGGCAGGTTCCTAAGCTAACCAATAAATGTAATGATGCATACAGTACATTGTAAGAGAATTTCAATTATCCATGCTCATAAATATTTTACATGTCGAAGTTCAACCATGTTCATGTTCAACCTTTCTTGGGGATAAAAAAAATACTGTCCTGTGCCCTTTTCAAATGCTTTTAATTCTCAATACTTAATTTTTCTTCTATCTTTACTATGAGATATTTTATACATAATAATTTACAATATTTAAAAGAAATTTAATTAAAAAGTTGGCATTATAGTTGTTCAGTAGTTGTATTTAGTACAGTACAGTAATAATCAACCCTTACAGTTAACCCTGTTAACTGTAATGTACCAAGCACTTAATAGCCAACTATCCAGCAGTCATAAGTGCTTCACAAGCATTCATCTGCATCATAAGAGTACATTATAGCACCTCATTTCAGGTTCTTGTAAATGTTAATTTAACTGCCTACCAAACACTTAACTTCTAGTCTAACACTATATTCCATCTCTCTTAATAATTTGCACAACAAAAAATATCATTTGTGTGCTCTCCTGAGGTACTTAACAAGTTTTCTCCTTGGCAGGTGGGTGTGGTGGACCAGCTGGACAAGCTGGGTGGCCCTGTTGAGGACTCTGTCTTCTACAAACCCTTCCTTCACACACCTTCCACAGTCACCCCAGAACAAAGGTGAGACTTGAGCTGCATATCATCTGTGGAGTTTGTGGCATAGTAAAAATAATATGTTTAATGTAATGAAGCTATCATTTCTGGTTGAGCCTTCAGCAGCTTCCTGAATTTTGCTAAGGTATAGTACCTGTACCACCAAGCCAGTACCAGAATCTCGCTCGCTCTACAAAGCGAGGTCAACCTTCTTTTTGACACTAGAAGCAATGATGAATGTGGTTGACATTAGAAGCAGGAGGAGCATTGTGAATTAGCTTGCTACGAAGGGTGTTAGTTTGTCGAAAGGAGAGCTTTATGTCAAGCTCACCTTTCGACAAAGTAACACTCTTTGTAGCAATCTAATTCACAATGCTCCTCCTGCTTCTAGTGCTGCTGGTGTCTACTCTATTTCCTGTTCATCGTGTCCTCTCTATTTCCTGTTCATCGTGTCCTCTCCAATACTTTGGGGAAACTGGCTGTACACTAAATGACAGACAGACCTAAGGAACACAAAAGAAGTGTTAAGTCTGCAGACACAAACAATGGTCTCTTCTGTCATGTTTGGAATTGTAATCATCTGATTAATTGGTCGTCTTCTAAAATAATCTTTCTTGCCTCTACTCTTCACAGACGCCGTCTTGTTGAATCGGTTCTGATACACAACCTACCCAACATTATCCTTAGTACTGGCTTTGTTGCTGTTGACTCTTCCCTTTCAAAGTACCTACTCAAATGTTCTAAGCCTTCTAACAAACGTGACCTAACATAAGCCTACCCATCATTTTCCTTTTCTTTTTCATTTTCTTTCTCCTCTTTTTCTTATGTTCCCTTTCTTACACGTATTATTACCCGCTTACACCCCTTATACCTATCCACCTATCCCTTCTGTACCTTTTGCCCTGCTCTTACCTTCCTCTTAAGATTTCCTCCTCCTTATCTCTCTCTTGCCTTACTTAATGCCTATGCATCCCTCGTCTCATCGCAATCGACTTGATAATGGTCTAGGGGGAGGGAATTAACGGGGGAAAGTTCCAAGCCATGATGATTATATATATCTCTGGGAAGTGGTCAGGATAAGGATATGGGATGGGATGGGGAAAAAGAAAGGTGACCAACCACTTAGACGGATGGGGATTGAACTCCGACCTGCTTGAAACGAGACCGTCGCTCTGTCATCCAGCCCAAGTGGTTGGACAATAATAGTCCAGGATGGACCGAAATGTCGTCATCTTCTCATTTTCTGGTGTGTGGTTTAGTCTTCATATCTTAAGCCGTGTTATTGTGATTCATCGTCTGCACCTTCTTGTATATATATAAATAAATAAATATCAACTTATGAATCGTTGGGTAGGCCATTGATCTGCATGAGATGAAAGGGAGAACCCAGTAAAATGCATTGAAGGATGTCAATGTTTATCAGTAGCATATGAGGTGTGTCGTTCATGCCAACTTATTAGTATTTGCTGTTGAGATGAGATGATGAGATCTAAAGCAGTTATGGAAGTAACCCTGGGCTCCATAATATAATTTAAAATGAGTTATTATGGTCAGTGTCAAAACCCTTTTGTATGTTAACTAATATTCCAACTAGCTACTTTTTCTCATAGCTGCATATATGTGAAGCTTGTTTGTTATTGCATCATTGGAGCTCTTTATTGTTTAATCATATGGTAAATTATTAGGGAAGAATAGAATGTATACACAATAACACTAAATAAATCAAGATGGTGAAAAATGTGAAATGAACATAAATATATACAGTACAGGTATTTGATTTATCGTAATTAATTTTTAGTTAATATATACCTGGTTGATACCTGGTTGATGGGGTTCTGGGAGTTCTTCTACTCCCCAAGCCCGGCCCGAGGCCAGGCTTGACTTGTGAGAGTTTGGTCCACTAGGCTGTTGCTTGGAGTGGCCCGCAAGGCCCACATACCCACCACAGCCCGGTTGGTCTGGCACTCCTTGGAGGAATAAATCTAGTTTCCTCTTGAAGATATCCACGGTTGTTCCGGCAATATTTCTTATGCTTGCTGGGAGGACGTTGAACAACTGCGGACCTCTGATGTTTATACAGTGTTGATATATACTACAGTATAATTCTTGATTTTGTTCCTATAGTTTATCCTTTTTAGTAATTGTACTAGGTATTTTGTGCATAATTATTAATTCTACTAAGTACTTGGTTTAATTTCATCATTAATTTATTGTCATAATTGTGTTGCATGACAGGACCACACTGAGGCATCAGGCACAGGAGAGGATTAAGCAGGACCTCCTGCCGGCTTTTAAGAGAATCCGTGATTTTATTGAAGTAAGTTACTAATTTCTCTAATTTAATCCTTGTTAAATGTTGTGGATCTTTTTGATCATCTTATTTTATCTTCTAATATTAATTTTAACCACTGCTGCTACTGCTGCTAATACTACTATTAAGACATAATCACTAGTTATTCTTACTGTATATATTATTATTATTATTATTATTTATATTATTATTGTTATTGCAGACGGACTACTTGCCGGCCACGAGGCCAGAAATAGCAGTGTCGTCACTGGAAGGGGGTCAAGAGTTCTATCAAGCTTGCCTTAAGTTTCACACCAGCACAAACCTCACACCACAGGAGATTCATAATCTGGGAGTCACAGAAGTAGCCAGAATAGAAGAAGAGGTGCTAAAGGTACTTTTTAACTTATTACAAATTAATTTATATATATATATATATATAATATAATATTATAATCTATTCTATAAGATTCTACAGTGTATATTATATTCTCACAAACTGATTTTGTAATATACAGGATTTCTAAACTACCTTTTGTTAATCACATCTTACAGACAGCCGTGGAGATTCAGATGGAAGGGAAAACATTTTCAGAGATCAGTCAAGCTTTAAAAAAAGACCCGGAACAAAGCTTCAGTAGCAAGGAGGAGCTACTGAGCACTTACAGAAATGCTGCCTACAACGTCATCATTCCTCTTATGCCTCGACTATTTATCAATGTGCCTCAGGACAATGTCACGTGAGTCTATGAAATTTGCTGTATAGTTGACTCCTGTTTTTTTTAAGCACTTTATCTTTAGTATAAATGCTTGTGGTATTCATTTATATATATATTAGTAGTATCAACCTCATGTCTCTGGACGACAGAAGGGGCAGGGATGCCATGATTACAACAATTAAAATTTTCAGAGAAATAGACTGGGTGAAGACAAATTATTTTGAATCTGTGGTAAATGAACAAGGGGACAAAGATACAAACTAAATGCCAAAATGAACCACAGACATTACAAGTAATTGTTTCAGTATAAGTGTATTGAATAAATGGAATGCACTGTAAAGATTCCATAGTTTAAAAAATAGATAACACAGAGCCCAATAAGCTTGGGAACATGAACACTTAAAACATGGAAACATGGAACCAGTTGATTGAATACCAAGAGATAGGAATAAAGAGCTGAAGCTTAACCCCAGCAAGCACCAATTAGACAAGTACTCCAGCTCTTACCAATCATACCCTCCTATCTTACCACACTGCAAACTTTCTCAATATGGACTGATTTGTGGAATAGCTAGAAAACTAGTTGGTGCCAAGGACCTGTATGATAGGGTATCAAATCAGCTTTGTTGAAATAATAAGCTGTATAGTTTAGGCTTGTATTTTCTTGCACTAGAATTTGCTGGCCAAATTTCCTGGCCTGTATGACAACTGGAGCTTTAACCCTCCTCCCCTTCCACCTCAGGAGAAATGTATCTGAAAATATCTTGAGAGAAAAGGTAGCAGACCTTCTTTCGCTTTTCCTTCAGAGGAACCTGCTGATGTCATATAGCAAGTGATCATGACTTGAGGTACATTATACATTTGGAATCATTGAAACAATCCATTAAAAGTATTATGTTGGCAGTTATTAGGTTAATCTTTAAGATGGCAATGTGACTAGTATTACAGTACAGTATTGTGTAAAGATTTACTTTTAATCCATAATGAGAGGAATTTATGGTTAGTGTATATTATACTGCATCCAAGTGATTAATATTATCATAAACTTTGCTGTGAATTAAGGTGAGGAGTAGACAGCATGTTTAATTATTTATATTTAAATGACTTTCAAATTGCTTATTGTTCTGTTCAATCTGTCATATTATGTATGGGTAGTCTCAACTAAACAAATAATGTGCTCATTGATGATTTTTCAATAGACCAGGTGTACCCTTTTGTCATTATAACTTTAGTAATACGTACAGTATTTGCTTTTTTTAAATTTTTACTGAAGTGTAACAATCAACAAGCTAAGATATTACAAACGAAGTAAGAATACTGTCCATTACTCTGATAAAGATACTTAGTTTCTTCTTTTCAGGATAGAAGGTGATGATAACCCTAATGCTGTTTTTGGAATGTATAGTTCACCTTCCTTGGATGGCTCAAGACTTGGCATATTTACTATAAATTCTTATATTTATGACAAGCAGTAAGTAGGTAAAATATGTTGTTTATTAAGTGAATTCAAATAAAAAATAGACTAATACAGTATATGGTACAGAGAGAACTAACAAAATACAATGAAGGTTGATAAACATACAGCATTAGTAAATGGCAAGGAACAAGGCTGGGTGGAAGCAGCTTGTAAAGGGAATAAATGTTTGTATGAAATACTGTATATCCGACAATGCATGAGGAACATTGTACGCCTGGTCTTATAGAGTGGTGGGTTGCTGCTGTAGATGACTGCTGAAGTATGGTATTGCTTGTTTATATGGTATTAATATATTATATGAAGTATGGTATTGCTTGTATGGTAATAATATGAAATACAGTACAGTATTGCCTTTTTTTTTTCTCTGGGTAGATACCTCTCCACCCCATGACAGTGGGATATGGGGTACAGTAATAATAATGATTGACTAATACAAACTGGTATATTCATTTTGTTAATAGAAAATCCTAATGTCTAATATGCATCCTGTATTTTAAAAAAATAATTTGGTAAGCTGACAATTTTTATTTGTGTGTAAAATAGTAACCTCAGATACCATTCGACCTGGTACATAGAACTCGGTTAAATGGTTTGCCATCACCTATTACTTCCAGATTATTGCTAGTGTTAAAATAGTTAACTAAAATGTACATCTCAAACCTTCCTGGTGTAAATGTAAATAGTTTTTATGTTTGTTAATCACCGAGAAGTAAATTAGGCCGACTCCATGTGTACTGTACAAGTTTAAGAGGACGAAGATTTAAAGATAAAGCTGAATTTATCAAATACTATGTACTGATTTAATTAATGAGTGATGACATGGTAATGACATTATTATAGTTTCATCTAATATTAGTCACCATGTAGAAACAGTAACCTCAGACATTTTAGCCAGTTTACTTCTGAGTGGCATATGCAGTATTTGGTTGATAGTGGCATGAGTCCGCCCAATGCTACAGCAACATGACTTTTACAGTTTTCTGTAAAAAATTTACTTTGGTGCCAACTGGGGATACAGTAAACAAGTGGGGGTTGTTGCTCAGGAAATCATTTCTTGTTTTTTATGATGCTATCTTGTCTGCAGTAAGAAGTACGAGGTCACGGCTCTGACCCTGCATGAAACCATGCCAGGTCACCATCTTCACAAACTCTACATGCGAGTCAACCCCTCTACTCCAAATTTTCGGAAGTTTGTCGACCCTACCCGTACTGGTGATGCCCCATCCAGGTTTCCCCTTCACACTGTTTTCTCTGAAGGCTGGGGGTTGTATTCTGAGTTCCTGGGAGAAGAGCTGGGTTTGTACCAGGACCCGTATCAGAGGTAATGATTTTGTTGTTATTGGTGCACTTTCACACACTCCCCCTGCCCTCTTTTTTTTTCTTTATTTAATTTGACAATTTACAAAGAATAAAACTTGCATAAAAAATTTTTTTCACTTAAAAAATCAAATAATATAAATTAAGAACTTTACTGAATTATTGTACCATCTTTTATTTTATGTATTAAATTTTAAGGTTACATGAATTTCCCATTTTGTTATTTTAAGAAATGTGTAATATAATCAAATAATATTTATAATAATAAGTCCATTGTCTTTATGTAGAAAGCTAAAATAAAATCAAAACATATCAATGATTGTTCTTTTACATGCTTAATAATTAATTAAAATTGTCATTCTTGGTTCAGGATAGGGAGGTATTCTTTTGAGCTGCTGCGAGCTAGCCGACTGGTGGTGGACACGGGCATGCATGCCTTGGGCTGGTCACGCGAGCGGGCTGTTGCTTTTCTCCTAGACCACACAGCACTGTCGAAAGAAGCTTTGCAGGTGAATGAGGGAAAGGGAAAATAAATATTTGGGGAGGGAAGTACTGTACTGTACACATGATCTATCTATAGGAAAGGCATGTATAGTGGACAACACTATCTGTGATTTTAGATTGTAGATTTCACAAATACCAGTCTAAGAATAGAGAAAAATTAGTGAGAGAGAGAGAGAGAGAGAGAGAGAGAGAGAGAGAGAGAGAGAGAGAGAGAGAGAGAGAGAGAGAGAGAGAGAGAGAGAGAGAGAGAGAGTGAGTATGGAGGGACTATTTTCAACCCATCCTCCTGTTTAGATAGTACGTTTTGTAACTATGTGGACCATTGTACATATATTGACGTAATGGACAATTATATAGAATTTGTCATTTCATGGAGTCTGGAAAAAATTAAGCTAAAAACCAAACTTATGTGATATACTAGGCCTATGAATATTTGTGCTATGTTAGGCCTAGAATGGTTGTTTGGTTTCATTAGCAACATAAATACAAGACCTTTTCTGGTTTGTCTAAATTCAATGATACCAAATTCTTCCCAATTGTCCATTACATTTTATCAATATATGTACGATGGTGCACATTACTGTATGTACATTACTATCTAAACAGGAGAATGGGCTGACTATTTTCTGAATGACTGCCTTTTCCAGTGGCCACATGCATATTTGAACATTACTTGATTTATATGAGCCACAATAATGTGGCTGAAGATATGATGTCTAAACCACACATCAGAAAATGAAGACAACAATGTTTAGGTCCATCCTGGACCATTTTCATGTTGTGTAATATGTACGGAGAGAGTTAAGTTTGTCGAAGGGCGAGCTGTACATCAAGAGGATGAAGGAGGTATTAGTGAGATTTTTTGAGTTTAGATATGAAGGTAAGACAGTAGAGTGATACTAAAGTTGAAAACAGATTTGAAATGAAAGAAATTACATTTAGCTTGAGAAGAGGCACAGTTGATAAATGCAAGGGGGGTATTCAAGGAAGAGAAAGATTTGTAAATAAAGGAAATTTCAGAATCAAGAAACTGAGGGTCACTGATGTGTAGAAGAAGAGAGATGAGAACAATTTTCTTAATAGAAAAGGATGGTAGGAAAAGAAGTGAATGTACATACCACTATGCATGGGTCTCTGGTAGACAGAGGAGGAGAAACCAGACACAGAGCTGTGAACATGAATGTCAAGAAAAGGAAGGAGGGAATTAGATTCCCATTCAACTTTGAAATAGGTAGAAGGAGCCAGATTTTTAAGAGTGAAGAGTAAAGGCTAGAAAAGACTATGGTCATGAGGCCATAGAGCAAAAATGTCAAACATAGCGAAGCCATAGAGGGGGACGAGTATCAATAGTGGGAAGAACGGTTTCGAAGTACTCCATATAGAGATTGGCAAGAACGGGAGAGAAAGGGCGTATATACCATAGTGTCACCGAAAGTTGAGACGTATTTTCCATTGAAAGAGTAGTAGTCAGTCAAGACAGTGATGAGTTAGAGGAAAATGTCAGGTGGAAGCGGAAGATGAAGAAGGCCCTCGGTCGCCTTCTAGGAAAAGATAGAACGTCAACAAGGGGATCATTCGTAAACAGTCGACATCAGGAATGAGCATCTTACAGGAGGGCTGCAAGTGCAGTCTTTTTATGATGTCCTGAGAGTGACGGTGGTGGGCAGGAGAAAAAGTACCAAGATAAGGAGTCGGAGCTTTTGCAAGAGGATTATCGACAGCCTCTTAAAGGAATGATTAGATGAAGAGGAACACCAGGTTTGAGTCTTAGGTAGACCATAGAAATAAGGAAGAGAGGGGCAAATGACATTTAATTTTATTACCTGTAGATTGAAATCAGGAGGAAAAAGACAAGAGAGCTGTTTTAGTTGTGGTTGAAGGGAGTTTTCAAAGTGAGTGATCCAAAGGGTTATAAATCCGAGCAAAACAACATACTTCTGGAGGTAATAGTAGTAGTACACATGGTCTAGGACAACCACCAAATTCCCTTTATTAGAAGGAAATTCCTTCTGACATTAGATTCCCATTCAAAATGCCTTGTAGGCAATTAACCGGTACAACCGTGTAGTCTACACAGTCACCTGATCAATTAATGATGGTAGTGATGGAAACATCACTACCTTGCATCCATAACTAAGAATTAATAAATAATGTACCCTGGTTTGGCTCAGTGTTATCATATTACCACTTACTAAATTACTCTTGAGCATATGCAAGCTGCAACTATCACACTTCAGTTGTACTACACCTATACAAAATGCCACACACATCTAATTACATCCCATTTGACAAATGACCATCATCTGTACCTAAACTGGCTTAGCTAGGTGATGGTACCGTACCCACATTGTCAATAAATCTATTGTTCTTGCATGATTCTTCTTGAACTGATGTCTTCACATGTGCAAAGACTTGTTCCATTTGAAAACAAAGATCACAGAATTTTTGTCTTTCAGATTGAGGTTAACCGGTACATCACACTGCCAGGACAAGCATGTTCTTATAAAATTGGTGAAATAAAAATTAAGGAATTAAGGCAAAAGGCTCAAAATGCCCTTGGGGGACTGTTCCATCTGCCCGAGTTCCATGATGTAGTTCTACGCTGTACTGGACCCTTAAAAATCCTTGAAGAATGTGTAACCAACTATATTGAAAGAAAAATTTTAGTGATTGAGAGGGTAACTGAAGAGAAGAAGGAAGACGAGTTAATCCAGAGTGATACTGCTGAAGACAATGGGTCTACAAATCCAAGTTCCAAAGAAAGTGAAAATGAAATAATGGTCACGATAGACGGAGCAGCTAGTATACGCGGTGATAAAAGTGCTGTGATTTTGACTGTATCCATATTGTCATTTCTTCCCTATCTATTAAGATAGTCCTATATAAGACATTAGATCTTCAGAGCTATGATCTTCAGTGTGAGTGGGCTGTATATTATCCTAGAGTTGATTTTGTACATTAGTGCACTGTATAGCTTATCCTATCGAGTCATAGTCATATATATTGTATAATATTTCTGCCAAATATATGTATTAAACTGATAACTTTCACATTCCTTTCACCGAGTACTCTTTTTAGGCTTATTTCTAAACCACGATTACCATCCAAGACGGAACAACTGCCCTGCACAAGAGTAATTTTTATTTATACGTATATACACAAGTTCTTACATTCCTGTACAGCCACTAGCATGCATTTTGGGCAAGTTCTTAATCCTAATTTTCTCTGGGATATGACCTAGCAAGGTCACTTGGATAGAGGCCCAAAATAGTGCCACAACCAGGTTTTACAAGTAATCCACCTACACTGGTCTGTAGGGATGGGGGGGATCTTGTGTATACATTATATGGTTTGCATACATCTCCCTCCTCCACCCCCCTCACCTGCATTGTTCTAACATCATTGTCACAAGCCATTGTTTCCTTAACCAACAAGTTAAGGATGTATTCAGTTTTCCTAAAAACAAATCCATTTACCTTAGACACTTCAGATCCTTAGTGGCAAGTTGTATAGACAAAGCATTAAGAGACCTCCTGACCAAGGTATGCAAGACAATTGTGTCCTAGTTTACATATAATTTTACAATTTCACCATTCAGTAAACCAGGCCATTTTCTGGCAAAAAAAAAATATCAAAGGCTGGTCTCACAGATGAGACTTTACGTGATGCCAGGCAATGTCGTGCCACTTTATGTTCTTCAGTACCCCGAGACAGTCCTTGTTGCCTTCCCTGTTGTCTGGCTGTGGTCACCCGAGCCTGGGGACAGGAAGGGGAGAGTTAACATCACAACTATTATATTCCTTATAATAAGAAATTTTATGGCAAGTTACACTTAACTTTTACAGGCCTCTTTACAGCCATTTAAGCCCTTATGAGTAACCTGCACTTAAAAAAACAAACAAAAATACTTTCAAACACCCCATATGTCATGATTATTTGAGCTGTATAACTTAAAAGTTAAAACAAGCCATTCAGACCCTGCAGTGCGAGATCAGTTGGTGTAGAATAGTCTACCCGGATGACCACCTCTAGACCGTAGTGCCTTGCTTGTTGCTATTTGTCCAGATGAACTGTGCTCCTGTGCTCCTACACAGTGTCCGTACAAGAATGTAAGAACTCTTGTGTATCTAAAAAATAAAAAATAAATTGAGGTGGGACCAAAGAGCCAAAGCTCAACCCTCATAATCACAACTAGGTGAGTACACCAAAAGTGGGAATGGAAAATTACAATTATCGTTCAAATTTGAGCAAACACTGACTATTCTACTGTCCACGACGATGGGACAGGTACTATGTGACATACTATGGTACGTGAGGAAGGGTTGGTGCCTGGTTATAGTTAATAGCTCTAAATCTACTGCAGGGAAAACTTTGAACATTAGCAGCATAGGAACTATGAGCATTATGTGACGTAAGTACTATGGTATACCAAGGACAGGTTGTCATGTCGCCTATTGTTCATGCACAGCTCCTACACACTAGTATGTAGTTCTAACACACTACTGTGCAGTTTCAGCATTTCTGTGCAACTCCAGCATACTCAACCTGATTAACTAACACAAATAGTTAAAGAATTCCTGTTTGCATACGAGGAAGAAATTGAAACTATCATTCGATTTTCTTTCTTGAAAATGCAAATACTGTTTGTTGGTTTAAATAATACTCAATTCTTAAAATGAAGTTTATTATACAGAAATACATTGATATAATATACAATATATAAAAACATCAAACTTTGGATGGAATTTTCAAGTTATAAAGAAATAATTTGTTATAATTTAAGAGAAACATTCTATAATATACATCAAAATAATTTGATATCACAGTAGTAATAAACAAAAAATAATCCAGATTTAAAAAGCTGCATTCCAAATTTAAAATTGGGTGTAAACAGATATGGTACCATTCTCTGAAAAAATAGAATACCCTACAACTCTGCACCCAAAGTATAAAATATCACACATAAGCAAACATAACAATACAGACAGTATACAGTCCTCTGTAGCTGTCAGCCTCAAGCAATGTAGGATGATGTAGAAGCACTCTCAAGCACACTGGTCACTGAATACTTTCACACTGAGTAGTTCAGATACTGCTTTACCATAATAAATAAAAACTAGTTTACAACTAAATTTTTTATAAATTTTGTTAAGAAAAAATTAAAGCAAAGCTCTCATTACTGAACCCTGGGTTAGCCCTCATCAGTGACCTCTGGGTATTTATAATGAAAACAAAAAATGCTTTATGAAATTCATTTCGATTGCCCCCATTAATTGGTCCATATTTGTATTATACTGGGGCTGGGAAACTGTTTTTTCTTTGGAATACTAATCGGTTTAAGAGAGCATGAACTTCTGACGCCGATGAAGAGAAGCACTAAGTTGGGAGATGATTTTATTGTAGACGACCTGCCTGTAAAGGCTGCAGCATCACATACTGTACAACGGAGATACACGGCAGCTTGTAAATGAAATATGACGAGATGTGGCTCACACACACATACCAGGGATTAAGTGTCTCATAAAATATATGTTTTTGGTAGCAATTTAGCAAGTGGTCATGTAATTCTGAAATTCCTTTGGATTCATCAAAATGAATAATTTTGATGAATCATACTCTTTGATATCTTTAGCATCCTTAAAGGTTATGAGGTGCTGCTCCTAGTTTGTGAGGGGGATGCAAGCACTGTTAAATCTCATCCATCCATCCATCAATTTCTCCATCATACATCCATCTATCCATGTTAATTTCTTTTGCTGTAAGATCACATACTTATATCTAAAAAGAAATCTAAATAATGCACACCTTTGTATAATAATTGTACAATATTCAGAAGTAAAATTTGTTCTTGGCATGCAGCACAGTAAATATCCTGCTCATATAGAAGTCACATAGTATGTGACTTCTCCACATGGGAAGTCACATATCCCCATAACTTAAAATAAAATTAAAAATTAAAAAACACTACTTCCCTTCCCTACACCTCTTACCCTTCATGGAGTTTACCTAAGTCTATTGAGCTTGACTGGGGCTGAGGAGAAGAGGTTGAGAAAATAGGGAGCTTCTGTGTTGGGGTAAAAAGTGCTGGGAATGATATTGTAAACGCCTGAAACAATATCAAATGCCTCCATCACCACAAATCCAGACCTGTAGAGAGAAGTTCATCTCAGTCAATGCCTTGGCAGACATCGAAATGCATTTGTGATAATTTATATTTTGGCTCCCTAGCGGAAACATAACAAACTGAAACTTCGCACATAAATTGTAAATCTCACAACATTAAAAAAGTCACTAGTTCAAAGGTAAATTCTTAAGTATTGGAAATAGAAAATTATAAATAATATTGTCATATAACCACACACATTAATATTACAGAACTGTCAAAATAGAATTATCATTTAGTTTAAATTTATTTACATATTAACAAATATCATCTGAAATTGCACAGGTTTTAGACTTGCTAGACTTGACATGATAAATTTTTACGTCTTGCTATACCAGCAGTCCGATAAAGCAGCAAATTGGCTCTGTACATAATACCATATCAATGGCTAATAGCAACATAAAAAGTACTGAACAGTACATAATTGAAGTCTTTACCTGTATGCTCCTGATTGTTTCTTACTGAAATATCCGCTAGCTTCCGTGTTCTTAGCTTCCACACATACAACCTCAAAACCAATCTGGAAAAGGTTAAAAAAAAAAAAAAAGCATAAATCAGTAAGTCTTATTATAATGGCCACAATTAATCTTGAATATTATGACAAAGTAATACCCACCTTTCCTAGCATTCCATACTTTATAATGCTGCTCATGTTAGTACATATATGTAAATGTCAATTTTGCAAAATGTGGGCTACCCAATGGCATCCAATATTATGGATAAACACCCAGCTTGAAACTTGTACTTACCAGCTGCATGCAGCATGAACATGCCACAGCAACAATAATATGTTTCGTCTGAATAAGTTGCACAAGGACACAAGACAAGAGAAGTCTCAAAACCTCATAATGTCTAATGACAAGATTTTAATATGTCACGATAGGAGATCACGTTAACAAAAGCTTCTTAGTTGGAGATGTGAGTCTTTGGTGGACCATAATGGCTCTGGGATTATCCAATGGGCCTAGGATTAGAATGGCCAAATATACAGAAATCCAAATTGGGTCAAGAACAATATAATCCAGATTCTGAAGGTTACAATGTATGCAGATTGTTTCTGTATATCAGTCTAAATTTGTGACTATTTTTTGTTGCTGGTTTTGTCATTGGTATGATAGTGCACAACCTATTTGAAGCTTGGCACTCCAAAATTGTCCTATTGTCAAGAATTTTACTTAACTATTAAATGATGTTGAGCCAAATGTTCTCAATAGTTTTCCAAAGCTTGGCAATTTAATTGTTATTTTCCCAGTCATATAAAATATAATTTAAAATTAATTATCTGAATAAATAATAGACAAATACCTGAATGTCCTTAGGAGCTTTGAGTTCAATTCTGAGGCAATTCAAATCACTTTCAGCTCTGAATTGATAAACTGGATTGTTCTTATATGATGCTGGGTGATTAGGGCAGCCACCAGCAGTCTCCCCACTCCACTTCCCAGTGATCTGCCAAACATAAAATGCAATCATGAGATGCTATTTAGTACAAATTATTCAAACCTCTTGGCAGAAATGTTCCCAAAGATTTCTGCCAAGCCGTGGAAATCAAACCCCGGATCTTTTGGTTGTGACACAAAACATAAGATACATCTGAACAAATCCACAAGGGCCGTGACGAGGATTCGAACCTACGACCGAGAGTTTATTTGATTTGATTTGTGATTTGATACATCTGATATTGGACAAGAATCTTAACAATATTCCGTTTTATATGATAAGAAAGAAAAAATCTTACCTCATGTTTATGTTTGCAGAGATTCTTGATTTTGTGTAATAAAAAGGGACAAGTAGAATAAACTCGTAGGGAGTAGTGTATGGTTTGGTGTTTCTCATACTGAGATACTACTAGTGTAAACTTGTGTGTCCCAGCGTCCTTCAGAACCATCTTGCATAAATAATGCGGACTGTTGATGCGTACACCATCAATATATGGAGCAGGGTCAACTGCCAAAGCAGAAGTCACATATCAGTTGTGAACATAGTAGTATACAATGACTAAATGACAAAGTGCTACATCTTCAGCAATAACACCCATAGTTATGATAATGAAACCCCCTAGCAAGGTCACGTTCCAATAGAGTACTGTATCCTGCATTAATTATAGGACAAATCTATTAATTCTGAATCACTTGTCAGATGTAGTCAAGAATTCAATTGATTTTAAATATAGATACAGTATATTTTAAAGATTTATCTTTTCTAACATTCAGCAGTAGTTTTGGTGTTGAGAAAATAAGTATTTAACAAGTGATACTTTTTCCACAACATATTCCAAGTGTTTTTATAAATAATTTATTTTCTGCTCTAAATGCATGATCAAAATTATTTTATTTATCCTATTACAGAACTAGTCACTTCCATTACCATCCTTATTAAAGAGTTGTCACTATATTCCAATAATAGACTTCTTGTTAGTTTAAATATTTAGGACGGCAGAGAATAAATTACAATAATATGGCTGAAATAAATAGCCCAAATCACAAATGATAAGAAATGAAAGTGACGACATTTTGGGTTTGTCTACGACAGTTTGGAACTTCACTTTCCTTTCTATTCATGTATGTGTGAAGTAGGTTACCTATAAGAATTACAATCTCATGATTCTAATATACCATAATATTTCAGTGCTGAAGCTATCCAATTAAGCACCCAGGCCAAAGCAAAAAAGTGTTAAAGAGGAGAATTCCATGGAACTCACAGGGATAAAAGATCTTCTTCCCTCCAGTTTTGTATACAAGGAGCGTTATGTATTCTTTGTTATTGCGGAAGTCTTCTATTTCAGTGATGTGTCTGGTGAGAAGTATCCAGACTGCTGTTCCCCCCGCACACTGCACTTCAAGAGAATACTGTGGGTTCTCCCCAATGTTGTACAAGTCTCGGACTGGGCCAGCACCAGCATTCCACGTTCTGTAATATTTAAAGTTATGGACCCACACATAATTGTATATTTGCTACACTAATGATACAGAACAAATTCAGTAAAATATTACGGAACAATGCAACTTCACTCATACAAACTATGAAACCAGACCAAATTTGGTCTGTATTGTTGGATTTAGATAAAGATATACCTACTCGTGTATACAGTATGTGTGGGAGAATAGGCGAGGATTCCAGTTCATGTAAATTACATCATAGAAATGACATAAACTATCATAATCTATCCAAAATACTCCATTGTCAAATGTTTGAGCACTCTTTGGGTCATAGTTAAGGAGTTTACACATTTCTGGAGTCCAATGTTCTTGATCCATTTCAGAGTAGTTTCCTTTCCAACGTAAGTGAGACCACGGATTCTTCAACATCAGCAACCGTTTTCCCTGAAATACAACACAACACAACATTTACATGGTTAAAATACATTGTTAAAGCTGAAGAAGTATAATAAAATATCTATCACTGAAGTCTTATTAATTTAAAGTACAGAAAGCATGATATTTAACCCACACATCTGAAAATGAAGAAACAATGTTTCAGTCCATCCTGGGCCATTATCAAGTCAGGATAATGGTCCAGGATGAACTGAAATAATGTTGTTTCTTCATTTTCAGCTTTGTGGGTCGGGGTATCAACTCTACAGCCACATTTTTGTGACTTATCGTCTCATGAATGCATGATGGTTTAATATGAAAACCTGAATAAAAATTCCAATTCAATCTAAATTTAAAACCTGTACCAGTACACAAATAGAGTAAAATACTATACTATACCAATTAGGAGAACAAGAGATACTGTATATAAATAAACAATGAGAATGAATGGAATGAAATGTTCCTCTCACGGCACCCATTTGGCTGCTCTCCCAGCCAAGGCTCGGGGTTTATCACAGGTAACTGACAACACACTACGCTCCCATCCATTTTGGGACCCACTATTTTAAGAAGATTTTTAAATGGTCTTGTTACATAATTTAGGGGGTGGAGAGACAGTCAAGAACATACTGTACCTTAATTAACTAACGAGACTACTTGCTATGATACCAAAGAATGGATCAAGAGACAAGAGACCTCCTTCAACCTACCAGTGGGACCACAAAGTTAGCCAACTATACCTTTAAAATACTTAAATATTGAACTACCTACTACAACAAATGCCACAAAGTGTTAGGTCTAGCAATCTCAACAGGATTGGAAAGTGTCGTCACTTCAGCATAGCCAGCAAATGTGTTTCTGTGGACCCAATTAGGCTGCTGGTTCAATGAAGCAACCGAGGTACTGACTCGGAAAAGAGCGTTTAATTTCACTTGACACTATTTGTATTAAAATTATTATTACAGTAATTGCAATACTGTATCATGATATGCTATGTACAGCATGCATATATAATGCAACATTGCAAATAATTTTTTTCCCTACCACTTTCCATAATACAGACTAAGACTTACCTTTATTTCTTTAATGTCCAGCATTGCATATGCATGAGTAGGAACAAGGCCAGCTCGATCAGCATCAGCGTCGCTCATCTCTCCGGTTGCAACGGTGACCAACACATCACCACGATGGAAGCGGTCAACTATCTTCCGAAATGTTCCTTCCTTATTGAAATCTTTATCTTTGATAGACACACGCTCTGGGATCCAGCCAGTAAGAGCATAAAGATCAATATTGCTATTGGAGCCAGGAAAATCGTAACCCCCCATGACTTTCAGGTACGACTTCTCGACAAGAGAAATCCAAAATTCATTCTTATTAGTTGAATAGGAGCACAGCAACTCACCATGGGGACCAACAGGCAATCTGTCATCAATGATTACTTTCCTTGGAATTCCATTTATATGGAGTTTAATCATGTACTTCCCACAGGGATTATAGACAGGGTCACCATTACGGTTCTTAGGATAAATTATGTCTGTAATTAGTCTTTTTTTAAATCTTTTCTCATAGAGAGCACTGATGGCGACAGAAGCCACAAAGGAACAATCAGAAACACAAGTCTGTTTGATACTATAGTAATCCACTACTTCAATCATTTTGGGATCACTGGATATATCCTCAGGGCGTGCCCATCTTGCAAAGTTTTTTTTCTGTTTTGGTGCTAGAGGAAGCAAACCATCTTTATCAGCAAATGGCAAAGAAAAAGCAAATTTTTCTTTCAGATCAATGGCCAAAAATGGAACATAGTTTCGTCCATTGATGTTAGAAGTCCTTCTTAATACCTCCACTTCCTCCTTTGTGTATTCAGATTTCCCAGATAGCTGAAGGCCACCTTTGTTCACCACATTGGGTCTGCCTGTAAACAAAAAAGAAAATCAGTGAAAGAGCAAGCTATAGATCAATATACTGTAATTATATTACATCGAAGCTATACATTAATCCTTGCAATGCACATCACAGCCAGGATCGTTTCATTGAAGGTGCGCACCACAACCAGGGTTGTTTTAGTACTATCATATAATATGAAACTCCCACGCATACATGGGGTCCACATGCTTCCTCAGGTCTGAAGTAACCATTTCCCACCTTGAAAAAACCTACCTAGCAGTAGGTATCTATTTGCTGCTAGATGAATGGAGGTCACAGATGAAGGGAAATTGACAAAATGCTTCTGTCCTATCATGGGAATCAAACCTGGGACCTTTCGACTGTGACCCGACAGCTCTGACCACAATGCCACAGGATCTAATGTACAGTATACTGACTTAATGGAAGATCATATACCCTCATTATGTTCTCCTACCTTGAGCTTCAGGTCTGGAGCCTCCAGTGTGTTCCCCTACCTTGAGCTTGAAGTCTGGAGCCTCCAGTGTGTTTCCCTACCTTGAGCTTGAAGTCTGGAGCCTCCAGTGTGTTCCCCTACATTGAGCTTGACGTCTGGAGTCTCCAGCATGTTCCCCTACCTTGAGCTTGAAGTCTGGAGCCTCCAGTGTGTTCCCCTACCTTGAGCTTGAAGTCTGGAGCCTCCAGTGTGTTCCCCTACCTTGAGCTTGACGTCTAGTCTCCAGTGTGTTCCCCTACCTTGAGCTTGACGTCTGGAGCCTCCAGCGTGTTCCCCTACCTTGAGCTTGAAGTCTGGAGCCTCCAGCGTGTTCCCCTACCTTGAGCTTGAAGTCTGGAGTCTCCAGTGTGTTTCCCTACCTTGAGCTTGAAGTCTGGAGTCTCCAGTGTGTTCCCCTACCTTGAGCTTGACGTCTGGAGCCTCCAGCATGTTCCCCTACCTTGAGCTTGACGTCAGGAGCCTCCAGCATGTTCCCCTACCTTGAGCTTGACGTCTGGAGCCTCCAGCATGTTCCCCTACCTTGAGCTTGACGTCTGGAGCCTCCAGCATGTTCCCCTACCTTGAGCTTGACGTCTGGAGCCTCCAGCATGTTCTCCTACCTTGAGCTTGACGTCTGGAGCCTCCAGCATGTTCCCCTACCTTGAGCTTGACGTCTGGAGCCTCCAGCATGTTCCCCTACCTTGAGCTTGACGTCTGGAGCCTCCAGCATGTTCCCCTACCTTGAGCTTGACGTCTGGAGCCTCCAGCATGTTCCCCTACCTTGAGCTTGACTTCTGGAGCCTCCAGCATGTTCCCCTACCTTGAGCTTGACGGCTGGAGCCTCCAGTGTGTTCCCCTACCTTGAGCTTGACGTCTGGAGCCTCCAGTGTGTTCCCCTACCTTGAGCTTGACGTCTGGAGCCTCCAGTGTGTTCCCCTACCTTGAGCTTGACGTCTGGAGCCTCCAGTGTGTTCCCCTACCTTGAGCTTGACGTCTGGAGTCTCCAGTGTGTTCCCCTACCTTGAGCTTGAAGTCTGGAGTCTCCAGTGTGTTCCCCTACCTTGAGCTTGACGTCTGGAGCCTCCAGCATGTTCCCCTACCTTGAGCTTGAGGTTTGGAGTCGACCAGGTTACCGATGCCCAGAGGCGGGATGACTCGGGTCGGAGAAACTCTACGATGTTGTGGTTTGTTTGATGATTTGTTCTCAGCCACACCTGCTGTGTTATTTTTGTTAGTGATTTTCCATGTGTTATTAAAAATGTCATTTTAGACTAAATTTGTTTATATGATGTACAGAATTTCAAATATAAAAATACTAGTAATAATACTGTATCTACATTTCTGTAAATATTTCCATAATTGTTTATTTGAAGTTTTATTATTATTACTGTATTACGGTACAGTATCCCAAAAACTGTAGTTCTGGTGGAATGAGATGCAATAAATTTGAGTGAATTAGCATGATATATAGTACCATATTTACCTGCTTCTTCTCCAGTCTCCTTGGCTTTTAGAACCTCAGCTCGAGTTAATGCTTGCTCAGCTAAATGTCGCAACTTGTCTGTTATTCTGGCATTGCTGGCATTTTTGCACTGTCCAGAGAAAAATATGAAACTAAGTTAACATCATGTTGATAAAAAATAAAGAAGTAATAGTATATCTGCTTTTAAATTAATTATAAATGTATTTTCTGAAAATACATTTATATACATGTATAACCATTTATGAATAATGTTTCTGAATATAAGAAAAATACAAACTGTGACAGAAAATAATAATCAACCAATCTCCAAATTTCCACTTCTGAACAATAGTTAAATATGTAAATGAAAAACCTAAAATTGAATTTACATAATTCAATTTTTGAATTTCAGAAAAACCTAAAATTGTACATTAGACAAATTGAATTATGGACTTGGTAATAATAGTCAATAAACACAAACATTATCAGAGGCTATGACACATACTATAGTTATAGGACTTATAAGATGAATTTGAGTTAGAACAATAATAAACTCCGGCCGCAGACAGCACTTGGCCCACCTGACATAAATCTTTGAATATGTTAGACATTAAGTCACTGCACATACTCTCAAGTGTATTCTATATAAAATTTTGAACTGTAATGCTAATCCTGACCTTAAATGATTCCTAGAAGGTTGTAACGGAACCCATGGGTTTTCACACTAGAAATAAATACAGTACTCATTTGATATTCCAAGAGTGTGACTTAACTAAACTAGAAATGCTCTGCAAATGAAGACCCAAAATGTGGAATGACATTCCCAATCATGTCAAAGACTGTACCTTTCTCAACCAGTTTAAGAGGAAAACTAAGTACAGTACTACCTAATAAACTCCATGTAACCTACCTTACCTCCTAAATGTCAACCTGTCTCGCTATACATCATCTTATCTATCTTATCTGATTTAAGCTTAAACTTAACACTTTAGCACAATCTGCGCGCCACCCCTCAACCATGCGTAGTGGGTCCCAGCGTTTCACGGGAGCGCGTGTTAATTCTGAAAAGTGTATGCTCTCTTCAACTTTGTCACCTCAATTCTCGTCCTACGAGATTAAATTTGGTATCATTGTGTTCGCAATAGAATTCTCTACAGCACTAAATGCATATAAACACCAAAAGCCCGGCTAATTACCCGCAGCAAACAGAGAAAGTGCGAACGAGTTACCCAGGAGCGCACAAAAGCGATAAAATGTGTTCACTCTTTTCACTCTGGTCACTTCAATTTTCGTCCTAGGTCTTTCATTTTCGTATCAATGGGTTTGCAATAGAATTCTCTAGAGGAATATTAGCATATAAAATAAAAAAACCTTGTCACGTTCCACCCACCGACGAGTTGAAGACGGGCCACGCGTTAGCCGCGAGTGAGTGCTCAGACGCCTTTCAGCTACACTCCCAATTCCTGCCCACAAATGTTTAGTATTTTTACCGGTTGCTAATCTCAATTTTCGTGTTACAGCGCTCATTTAGGTATGAAATTGTTCCTAATAGAATGCTTTAGATGGATATGTGCATATAAGGGCCAATTGAAGAACAATATTGCCAGTACAATATGCGAAAGTATGAAAACAAAAAAATATACAAAATAATACAACTTTTTGTACTTACCACTTCAGTGTTGTGTGTTGAACATGACATGGGTTGACCATTTGTTTTATTGCGTGCATTTTAAAACCAGTCCCAAAAAAATCGGTTAAAAACCTGATTTTTGGCAATTATTTTAGTGGACGACGCAGCATTGCGTCATTACCGAGATTAACAACAGTAAACTGATGACGCAATGCTGCGTCGTCACTGGACGAAAGTGTTAACCAAATTTTTAAAATAATTTTTTATATTTTAATTTTGTTTTAACAAGAGAAATCCTTTTTTTTTTAATAACAGAAATCCCTAAACTGATAATTTACCAGAATGTTCTATTGCACAATTGTTTCTTAGTGTAAAATTATAGGATACTGTGCAAGGTTTCAGTCCAAGGAGATTTTTGCCTATTAATATTTACAATATTTAAAGAGTAGGACTTACAGCCTCAAGACAAAGTTGAACAGCACTGGAGTAAAGGTCAATAGCTTCTTCAGCATTACCAGCCTCGTCTTCATCCAGTGCCTCCAAGAGCAGGAAGTTAGCTCGGCTAAGTTCACTCTGACCTCCCTCCTTAGTAATTTGAGTCGACTGAACTTGAGTTTCTGAATTAGAAAAAATGGGCATACAGTATGTGAATTTCCAATTTGTTCTCCAATTTGCCTCCTACCCCATGAATGTGGGAAAGTAAAATATTTATCAGGAGAAAGCATAAAGCCAATATCACCACATAACACACAAATGGGATACAAGCCCAGAGTGAAGAAACAGCGCACAACTACCTAGACCACAGAGTATCAAACGTTGAGCCTGCAAGAAGTGAGAATGTCTGCTCTATCAACCATTCCAATTGGTTTGGCTGAATGTGGGAAAGAGGGTAATGATGATGATATATTTCATACAAGATATGAAGACTAAACCACATGCCAGAAGATGAGGAGACGACAACGTTTCAGTCCGTCCTGGACCATTATCAAGTCGATTGTCTTGATAATGGTCCGGGACAGACCGAAACGACGTCTCCTCCTCATCTTCTGGTGTATGGTTCATATCTTTAGCCATGTTATTGCGACATCATTTTCATATAAGATACTTTTTCTGTCCTGCATGTCACCACACACAGGTATTTCTTATTAATATTTAACATTACAATTCTGATTTGTTTATTATGTTGTCATGAAAGTACCCCATACATATTTCAAATAATTCTCATGAATGCTCATGCTTCCCAGCAATACTTTTCAAAGCATTTTTCATACTCATAATGCCTTTCTTCAACTTTAAGTATCTTTGCAACTACCATCGTTTTCTCTTTACCCCTCCTCACTTGTATATTTACCAATTTTATGTTATCCCCAATTTGTCTACACAATAACAGTCTGAAATTAGCAACATTCTATTTCCTCACTGCCTTGTACTCACTATTTCCTACTAAATTTTCCCAGTTACTATGTGTGCTAAAAGATACTCATTATGCTTCTACTTGTATCTGTAAATTATTTTTAAATTGAAATTACTGTACAGTACAGTATTTTACAAATAAAAGCATCTCCATGCACAAAATTCCGTGTAACCATTAATTTGTAATACTACTGTACCACCTTGAACATCCTTCACCTACAATATCTAATTTCCTATTCATGTACAGTACTTGTGTTCAATTAACAAAAGGTTCTTCTATCAAATTTTACCACACAAATATCTTGTGCATCCCAGAATGTTCCAATTTCTCTTTTGTCTATACTCTCATCAATATGTTCTCAGTTGAATTAAGTCAGGATAAAAATAGTCTTCAAAAGATCAATTCCTTACTCAGGGAATTATAGCAATTATATACAATTTAGAAAGGCTATTTCTAAAACAATCAATTTTGCATGGTTTATATGCTCTTCTGCTTGAACTTTAAAAGTAACATGGGGAATCAAACTTATGCAGTATGAATGTCAGCAAAGTAAACCTGATGTCATAAGCTTGATTCCACCACCTTATTCTAACTTCAAAGTGTTGCTTTAACACTACTGTGAACTTTAGTTTCCATGCTCTTTTATAAGTAATAAAGAAACCTCTGTTTAGACTATGTACTATGAACATAGTACTGTTTAGATTATGAAAAGGCTCCTATTTTTCACAAAGAAGAAAGCAAGTTAACTCCTTACCATTTTGTTCTAGAGCAGTAGCTCTATTTTTGTACTGTTGAATTCGGTCTAGGATAGCTGGATTACACATGCCCAAGGTTGTGGCCCGACTAAGATACTCTGCTGCCTGGCGGTACATGTAGATGGCGGCCTGATGACTTCCAATAGTGTCAAAATGGGTTGCCTGTCTTGCCACGTCTGCCGCACAGTTAATACAATCTTCTGCACTGGACATTTTGAGCTGTCAACAATAAATTTACTATTTAAATTGATGTATAATTACTATACGAGTTGATCAAAGAATCAGGCATGGATTAATATACAGTTAGTTGCTATTTATGATAATGCAACCCAATTTTATTTATGGTAATGCTGCAATTAAAGTCTTCCTCATTTTTCATTAGGATTCCATATAGTGGTGAATTAATTTCTGATATGCAAAAATTATAATAATTTTAGTTTTGATTTTACTCCTAATAATATGCATGGCTATTTAGGAGAGTGGAAATGAGGGTTGAAACATATATTAATTAGAAGGAAAAAATTAAGACAAGGCATGAAATATACTGAACTGTATTTACAAATATTAGATTCAGATGTTCAGATTCAGATGTTTATTCAGGTAAGGTATATACATACAAGTGATGTTACATTAATGGATTGATATATAGATAGAGCTAGTACATACAATGCCTAAAGCCACTATTACGCAATGCGTTTCGGGCAAGAAAAACATTAATATCTAGAACTTAATACTAATTGAGCATAAAGAATAAAAGGTGTTGAGAACAAATACAAATAAAGATAAAAAAAAAAAAAAAAAGGGGAACATGACTGAAAAAGCAGCACAAATACAATAGGTTGACAAACAGTGTTGATTAAAAAAAGAAAATAACAGATATGGGTTGACAATAGAGGAGTGAGGTAGATTACAGGGAATTTATTAGGTAGTGTTTAGTTTTTATCTTAAACTGGTTGAGAGAGGTACAGTCTTTAACATGGTTGGGAAGGTCATTCCACATTCTGGGCCCCTTGATTTGCAGAGCATTTCTAGTTTGATTAAGACGTACTCTAGGAATATCAAAACTGTATTTATTTCTGGTGTGGTGCTCATGGGTTCTGTTACAACCTTCTATGAAGCTTTTAAGATCAGGATTGGCATTATAGTTTAGCGTTTTATATATGTATAATACACATGAGAGAATGTGCAGTGACTTAATATCTAACATATTAAGAGATTTGAGTAGGGGTATCGAGTGATGTCTGGGGCCAGAGTTGGATATTGTTCTAATAGCGGCTTTGTGTTGGGTAATTAGAGGACGTAAGTGATTTTGGGTAGTAGAACCCCAAGCACAAATACCATAGTTGAGATAAGGATAGATAAGGGAGTAATAGAGAGTCACCAGGGCAGGGCGTGGTACATAATATCTGATCTTAGAAAGAATGCCCACAGTTTTTGAAACTTTTTTTGATATATTTAGAATGTGTCCCTGGAAATTCAGCTTGTGGTCAATGAGAATGCCAAGGAATTTGCCATCTAATTTGTTACAAATTTGGGTATTGTTTATTTTGAGATTTATAAGACTAGAGGATTTATTGCCAAACAGAATATAGAAGGTTTTGTCAATGTTAAGGGTGAGTTTGTTGGCAGTTAGCCAAAGATGGACTTTATTTAGCTCAGTATTTACTGTGGCATTTAGAGCAAGAGGGTCAGGACTGGAGTAAATGAAGGTTGTGTCGTCAGCAAATAGAATTGGTTTGAGGTGTTGGGAGGCATTTGGAAGGTCATTAATGTAGATGAGAAAGAGGAGAGGGCCAAGTATGCTGCCCTGAGGAACACCAATGTTGATGGGTATTAAGAATACCTATAAATTTGAAACCCTAATCTAAAGGAACCTAACCAAACCTAATATAGTACAGTATACAAGAAGTCAATAATGCAAGGATGGAGCCAAATATAGATCATCAATGGTAAATCAGCGTCAAGTGGTGTGGCGAGCAACGTGTCTGGATACTGGTAAGAGACTGTCTGAGACTGACCCATCTAGTAAGAGTGTATACCTCTACTGAGGTATGGTAGCTAAGTTTAGTTTTAATAATATGCATCCTATACTAATTCTGTATTGTGATTAGAGTTTAAAAACTTAATAGGGCTACCATGTAATATACAAAAAACATCTTGCTGGAATGCAAGGAAAGCTAAGGAAAATTTGGATAAGAACTTATCAATGTAAGGTTTGTGATAAAGAACGTTTATAATAACAATAATGCAGAATTAGAACAATTATGCCAAATGAAAACCAGTGTACCAAATTGTAAACACTGAAAAGCTAATAAAGTAAAAAAATATACATAATAGCCTAAAATCAAAACAACATACATTGGAAGACAGGAAAATTGATAACAGCTAGTTATACAGTTAATGCATAGACATCAATAGTCTTTTATAGTACAACTGGTTCAAGACCTGACCACAGCAGTCATCTCTAAACTGAGTAATTTATATAAATTTGTTTTTTCACCCAAAGGGTTATAAACCCATGGAACTGCCTACCTGCCGAAGCCAAAAATACCATGACTCTGTTCAATTTCAACATCCAACTGGAAAGGATTATCAAGGCAAATAAGGGGACCTTTGACAAGCTGCCAGGTTTATGTCCTCGTCGAGGCCACTAGTGTTAGTGGCCCCTCAGGTAAATTCAGGTAAATATAATTCATGTGGTAGTAGAGGTTTACGTATTTACAAATTTGATTAAATGTGAACTATCGTTGAAGTCCCTGTGGTGCAGCGGTAACACACTCGTCCGGCACTTTGCGAGTGCTTTGGCCTGGGTTCATATCCTGGTCGGAGAGGATTGATTAGGTGCCACTCCTTAATTATAGCCTCTGTTCACTCAACAGTGAATGAGTAACTGGTTGTTAAACGATTTGCCGGGTCATATTCCGGGGAACATAGGATTAAGGACCTGACCGAAACTCTATGTGAACTAGTGGCTTTACAAGAATGTAAGAACTCTTGTATGTGTGTGTGTGTGTGTGTGTGTGTGTGTGTGTGTGTGTGTGTGTGTGTGTGTGTGTGTGTGTGTGTGTGTGTGTGTGTGTGTGTGTGTGTGTGTGTGTGTATGTATGTATGTATGTACCTCTACTACCACATGAATTAGATTTACCTGAATTTACCTGAGGGGCCACTAAAATAAATATAAATATAAATATAAATATATATATATATATATATGTCATACCTAGTAGCCAGAACGTACTTCTCATCCTACTATGCAAGGCCCGATTTGCCTAATAAGCCAAGTTTTCATGAATTAATAAATTTTCTCTATGTTTTTTCTTATGAAATGATAAAGCTACCCGTTTCATTATGTATGAGGTCGATTTTTTTTTATTGGAGTTAAAATTAACGTAGATATATGACCGAACCTAACCAACCCTACCTAACCTAACCTAACCTATCTCCTATATATAGACAAGGTAGTCGAAAAAACATTAATTCATGAAAAACTTGGCTTATTAGGCAAATCGGGCCTTGCATATTCGGCTGAGAAGTGTGTTCTGGCTACTAGGTACGACATATATATATATTATATATATATATATATATATATATATATATATATATATATATATATATATATATATATATATATATATATATATATATATATATATATATATATATATATATATATATATATATATATATATATATATATATATATATATATATATATATATATATATATATGTCGTACCTAATAGCCAGAACGCACTTCTCAGCTTACTATTCAAGGCCCGATTTGCCTAATAAGCCAAGTTTTCATGAATTAATGTTTTTTCGTCTACCTAACCTACCTAACCTAACCTAGCTTTTTTTGGCTACCTAACCTAACCTTACCTATAAATATAGGTTAGGTTAGGTTAGGTAGGGTTGGTTAGGTTCGGTCATATATCTTCGTTAATTTTAACTCCAATAAAAAAAAATTTACCTCATACATAGAGAAAAGGGTTGCTTTATCATTTCATAAGAAAAAAATTATAGTAAATATATTAATTCAGGAAAACTTGGCTTATTAGGCAAATCGGGCCTTGAATAGTAGGCTGAGAAGTGAGTTCTGGCTACTAGGTACGACATATATATATATATATATATATATATATATATATATATATATATATATATATATATATATATATATATATATATATATATATATATATATATATATATATATATATATATATATATATATATATATATATATATATATATATATATATATATATATATATATATATATATATATATATATATATATATATATATAAATATATATATATATATATATATATATAACTGAAAACTCACACCCCAGAAGTGACTCGAACCCATACTCCCAGAAGCAACGCATCTGGTATGTACAAGACGCCTTAATCCACTTGACCATCACGACCGGACATAATGAGGTGATAGCCGAGGCTATTTGAACCACCCCACCGCCGGCACTCGGATAGTTATCTTGGGCATAGCATTTTACCAAATCACCTCATTCTTTGGGGCAACACGTGAGGAACACAAATGCGAACAAGCCTGAATGGTCCCCAGGACATATGCAACTGAAAACTCACACCCCAGAAGTGACTCGAACCCATACTCCCAGAAGCAACGCATCTGGTATGTACAAGACGCCTTAATCCACTTGACCATCACGACCGGACATAATGAGGTGATAGCCGAGGCTATTTGAACCACTATTTAAGTGAGCAAGCCAAGAACCAAGTGAGTCAAGGGACGCTATTTAGGCGTCTTGTACATACCAGATGCGTTGCTTCTGGGAGTATGGGTTCGAGTCACTTCTGGGGTGTGAGTTTTCAGTTGCATATGTCCTGGGGACCATTCAGGCTTGTTCGCATTTGTGTTCCTCACGTGTTGCCCCAAAGAATGAGGTGATTTGGTAAAATGCTATGCCCAAGATAACTATCCGAGTGCCGGCGGTGGGGTGGTTCAAATAGCCTCGGCTATCACCTCATTATGTCCGGTCGTGATGGTCAAGTGGATTAAGGCGTCTTGTACATACCAGATGCGTTGCTTCTGGGAGTATGGGTTCGAGTCACTTCTGGGGTGTGAGTTTTCAGTTGCATATGTCCTGGGGACCATTCAGGCTTGTTCGCATTTGTGTTCCTCACGTGTTGCCCCAAAGAATGAGGTGATTTGGTAAAATGCTATGCCCAAGATAACTATCCGAGTGCCGGCGGTGGGGTGGTTCAAATAGCCTCGGCTATCACCTCATTATGTCCGGTCGTGATGGTCAAGTGGATTAAGGCGTCTTGTACATACCAGATGCGTTGCTTCTGGGAGTATGGGTTCGAGTCACTTCTGGGGTGTGAGTTTTCAGTTGCATATGTCCTGGGGACCATTCAGGCTTGTTCGCATATATATATATATACAGTATATATATATAAACAAAAATAAATATATAAAACAAATGGACACGTTGCTACAGCACCAGTGAGCACCCAAGGTGATTCATGGGGAGTAAATACTCACCAATTGTGGGTAGTTGGAAGAGTCAGGGGAGTGAGCATTCACCTAGTTGTGGAGCCTGGTAGCCAGGAGAATGAGGAGACCCAAATGAGCCAAGTGAGTCAAGGGAGCTAGATGGGTCATGCAGGGGAAGGCAGATGAGCCTGGTGAGGAATCGAATGGGACAAGTGAGTAAGGTGAGTCAGGGAGTCAGGCCACCCAGCCCAACACTGACATTTCTGTTGTTTATCAGTCTTCCTTCTCATCCGGCAAAGTGCGTCTGCCTGACGGCCTATACTCATCACCCTCGGGATTACCAATTCATCATTTTCATCTCTATAATCAAATGGAACATTTATTTTACGTAAGTTCAGCTTACAGAAAAGTGTATTTGACAAAAATGTAATAAATATAGACATCCAGAGGAAAATGTTACTTTACTAGATAATAACAAATGTTACACAATAAAAATAATTACAGAATTTATATACTTTTTTATTATTAACAAGCTTAGGTATACACAGCAATGTGCTGCTACCCTATTCTATATGAAAGATTACACAGCGTAGATTAAAAAAAAAAAACTAGCTATGAATTCATCTAATATTCCCATCTCACAGGATGATTAATCATACGTGGAATCATGGGAGAAAACACCAGCCTCAATACAAAAACAAATCAACCCTGACTAAACAACAACTTCGAAAATCTGTCGTCCAGTAATTTTTCTATCTATGACGCCGCTCTTTCAACACACAAATTATTCTTTTGACTATGTTGTGGTGTAGTCGACTGGAGCAGGGTTGCCAGCGCCAAATTGGTGAAAGTAGAGAGTTGACGGTCTTGTCATCCTTGACTGCCCTCAGCTCCCCAAGGCATAACTGTGACGTGCTTATCTCTGAAGCTAGACACAGATATAGTAAAATAATCAATGATGGAGTCAGAGTTTGTCTCCTGTGGATTCCTTCCCATATTGGTCTCCGAATGCATGATAGAACTGATGAGCTAGCCAAGACTTTTGCTCGTAAAGAGGGAATTTATTACCAACTTGGACTGCCTTTGAGCAGCCTGAGGGCAGCAATATCTCAGGAACATCTACTAAATTTCGGAGACTTGAGGCAAAGTGAAATTCACACCAGTTACTCCATCTATCATCATTCTATTATGCATGAAGAACCGCACGTCTATGGGTCATCCAATAATGTTAGCAGACTTCTAGATGTTACCACTGCTAGGCTTAGGCTCGGCTACAAGTACCTCTGGGAGTTTGTAACGTCTGTTGATGTAGATTTGACTAAATGTAAACTGTCACCAGAACTATTCGCATACTTTGCGTCAATATATAATGGAATGTGAAAAAATTGCGGAATTTAGAGATAACACCATCAATAGTGTCCAAGAAATGTGTAAGTACTCCATTCATAATGATGTGCTGCCCGAAATTTTAGCGAAGTATCCAAAATTTGCTTACTGTAGGTAATGCATGCACATGACTGTAAAGCTGCCGCCCAGTTGTGTGGGTGTGGAGCACATGACTGTAAAGCTGCCGCCCAGTTGGGTGGGTGTGGAGCACATGACTGTAAAGCTGCCGCCCAGTTGTGTGGGTGTGGAGCACATGACTGTAAAGCTGCCGCCCAGTTGGGTGGGTGTGGAGCACATGACTGTAAAGCTGCCGCCCAGTTGGGTGGGTGTGTAGCAAGACTAGTGACTCACTATAGATGTAAAGTGCCTCGTATAGTGACTGTTGTGAGCCTCTTGTAATGTCACTTGTGACACCTCTTTGTGTCACTTGTGACACAAAGATTATTGATGTGTGTAATTGTGTGGGGGATTAGATATGTATGTGTATGTATATGTGTATACGTATATATATATGTACATGTATGTATGAGGGTGTGTACATGTGTATACAACATTGATAATTTTGTAACTAGCGTCAAATATTGTTATTTGCTTAGCTAAACGAACTAGAGGGTTCAGTTCCTGAACCGATTATGTGCCTCTGTAATCCTTTACACCACCGCCCACGGGATGGGTATGGGGTGCATAATAAAGAAAGAAATTGAATTAAAAGTAGCGAATTTGTAATAGGAGTAGCCCAATTTTTTTTAGTGACTGATACGGGTTTCAAAGTAATATATTTTGATATACAGAGTACACTACACGATGTTAATTGTTTTATTAATATAATTTCTGTACACACACACACATTATATATATATATATATATATATATATATATATATATATATATATATATATATATATATATATATATATATATATATATATATATATATATATATATATATATATATATGACCGAAAAAGTAAGATTAATAATTCTAACACGAATTTTCTCGATCTTTCTTATGTTTCTGTTCACTGTTGATGGTAATTGAAAAATCAATTCTCCAAAATTCATTTTTATTTCTAGTCTGACGCGACACTTGAGCGCGTTTCGTAAAACTTATTACATTTTCAAAGACTTTAGTTTACACACACACAACTGAACTATAACTGAATAGAGCTTAAACATCTTGAATGAGAGTTTCTTGCTTTCTGGTGGTGTTGTGTCCATGTTTGCTATGAGGAAGGTAGGATAGTGGTCAGTTGGTCTGTCATAGATTACCCCAGATGTAAGGGGAGCTGTTATATTAGTTCATAAGTGATCCAGGGTAGTGGCAGATGTTTGAGTGACTCGGGTGGGCTTGGTGATTGTGGGGATTAGCATACAGGAGTGCATGCTATTACAGAAATAGTCAACTTGAGGGTTGTTTTGAAGACCCAGGTCAATATTGAAATCACCTCCCAGAATGATGTGATTTTTGTTGAGATTGTTATTTATGATAAGATTCCTTACATTGTCTGAGAATGAAGCTATGTTGGTATTAAGAAATCTATAGATGGCACCGATAGTCAGGGAGGATTTAAGGGATTTACTGGAGAACTTGGCAAAGGTATATTCACAATAGTCGTCTCTATCACTAATGACACTATTGCAGATGAAGGTATCTTTGTAATATATTGCTGTGCCACCACCTTTTTTATTAGGCCTGCAGTTATGAATGGCTTTATAACCAGCTAAATTGTAGAGTTGGGTATAGTCATTACTTAGCCAAGTTTCTGTTAAAATGATGAATGATAATTTAGTACCTAGTGCTGTGAGTAGTGCATTTATATCATCAAAATGTTTACCAAGTGACCTAACATTTTGGTTGTAAACTGATAAGCAGGTGCTATTTAGGAGTTTGTTTTTTGCAAGATTTGCTGTGTAATACCTGCAATAATGATGATCAATGTGCTGATTTGTGTGGGTATGGGACAGAAGATTTCGATCAGGATCAATATCAGTAAGCATATAGATGCAATAATGTCACGATACAATAAGATAAGCAATTACAGGAATAGTTAAATACTAAATCTGCCGTAAATAGAAAGTAATTATAGCAAAACACAACAATAAACGTAGGTACACAAAAAATAGAAACAATTAGAAGTAGAGTAAAGATCCCCGTAGATAGCCAGGAAGGATACAGTAGTTAGGTTAAGAGAGAAGAAAAAAACAGTAGACTGACAAGAATAATATATAGCAAAAAATAAAGAGACAAATAATAATCGAAAAGTAAAAATAATCTTAAAAATCAATTATTTAATAAAGCTTAGTTGTGAACCTATAATTATTATGAACTTAAGAAAACAAAATGAGCTCAATAATTAATTACAATAAATGATGTATAAATCAAATTACAATTAAGTTTAAAAAATAAAAAAAAATAACAGGGTAAGATAATATTTATGAGCAAGATTTTACTAAGACACTGAGGTAAATGCTTACATAAATACTAAGTCTGCTATAATTAGAGAATAATTATAGCAAAACACAACAATAAATGCATGTAAACAAAATAATTGAAACAATTAGAAGCAGAATAAAGATCACTAGATAGCCATGAAGGATCCACAAGTTTGGTGGAGAGAACAAAAAATCAGTAGACTGTCATGATGAATATAAAAAAAATTGACAAATGATGATTGTAAAGTAAAATAATCTTAAAGATAATTAATTATATTTAGCTTAGTTTTTAACCTATAATTAGTATGAAGTTAATTAAGAGAACAAAATGAGATCAATAATTAATTTAAAAAATAATTATATATATCAATAATTAAAATATCAAAGAAAGTTTCAAAAACTGCTGGCATTCTTTCTAAGATCAGATATTATGTACCCCGCCCTGTCCTGGTGACGCTCTATTACCCCCCTCATCTATCCTTAGCTCAACTATGTAATATGTGCTTGGGGTTCTACTCCCCAAAATCATTTACGTCCTCTAATTACTCAACACAAAGCTGCTATTAGGACAATATCCAACTCTAGCCCCAGACATCACTCGGTACCCCTACTCAAATCTCTGAATATGTTAGACATTAAGTCACTGCACATTCTCTCATGTGTATTATACATATATAAAACGCTGAACTGTAATGCCAATCCTGACCTCAAAAGCTTCATTGAAGGTCGTAACAGAACCCATGAGCACCACACCAGAAACAAATACAGTTTTGATATTCCAAGAGTACGACTTAATCAAACTAGAAATGCTCTACAAATCAAGGGACCCAGAACGTGAAATGACCTTCCCAATCATGTTAAAGACTGTACCTCTCTCAACCATTTTAAGATAAAAACGAAGCACTACCTAATAAATTCCCAGTAACCTACCTTACCCCTGTATTGTCAACCCATGTCTGTTTTTTTTTAAACACCCCTGTTTGTCGACCTAATTAGTGACCACTTTGCCTTGAACGTTGAATTGCCACTGGGGAAAAAACAAGTCCACTTTCAAAGTAAAAGGCTAAATATTAATAAAGATATGAAAAATTATTTTATTCAAAATATGGGAGATTGGTATCAACAATACACGCCGCTCTGCGTTGATAGTTTTTACGAGGACATGGTCGAGAACATAGAGAAATTAGTACAGAGGGAAAATAACGGGGGCAGGGGAAGCAAGACGCATGGACCTAAGAAATTTAAATATTCCAATGATCAGCAAGTCAAGGGGTGGGAGAGAATGCTACGGAGTGCGCATAAAGAATGGTTAAAAAATGGAATGAGGGATGAAGAGAAAAATACAATGTTGGAAGTGGCTAGGGAATGCAGTCAGGTGAGGAAGGAGGCGCGGGACAGATACTGGCAAGACTTTGCTCAGTCCATTGGTAATACTAAAAACCTTAAAGACATATGGAGAGCAGTAAATAAAATCA